CCTCTTGTAAAAATTTGTGTACTCGACATAATAGTAAAGGTTACGTGTGTGATATGTGCCACATAAGTTAATAATTGTAGTTTATTTTAAAGATTTAATTATGTCGTTTTTAACCTGTCTGGAGTAACCATACTGTTCCCATTTCCCCCGCAGGATGATCTCAATAACCCCGTAAGGTACGGAGGTAAATAGGAATGGCAATGTTTTTTGTTTTCGTTCATATTTCTAATTAAACGTTGTTTTTTAAGATTTTTATTGTCACTAGTAAGTAGATAGATAAGCAAAATTTATGTTGCAGTAAAAGTTGATTATGTCTGTGACTTTTTCTATTAATATTGAGCGTTAGAAATTAAGTGTTCCCAATTCTCCCCACTTTCCGCTACTAAATGTATGCTCATGTGAAATATTAGAGTAAATGGTGAAAAGATTAATTAATTGTAGTTGCCAGCCTTTTGGCTGAAAACCTAACACGATGCATAAATAAACGCTTTAATACAAGCTATTTTCCAGATAGCCTGAAAATATCGAGAGTGATCCCTATTCACTAATCGGGTACTAAAACGGATCCAGGTAACTAGACCAATATCTGTCTTGATATCCAAGGTCTTCGAGAAAGTTTTGTACAATCGAATAAATGATCACTTATCTAACCCTAATTTCATATCTAATTCCAAGTATTGGTTCACAAACAAATCAATCAAATCGAACACACTTTCGGCCACCATAGATCTTATAACAAAATAAAAAATATCGAGCACAAAAACTTCTGTTTGGGAATTTTCCTTGAAAAAGGCGTTCCACACTATCCTCATTCGTAAACTCGGGGACTTGGGTATTACGGGAAATTCACTTAAAATTCTGGAATCATACTTAAATAATAGGTTTCAGTATATAAGAACAGGCGATTATTGCAGTAGCCCACGGCTTATAAAATATGGCATAACGCAAGGATCAATTTTAGGGCCTCTGTTATTTTAAGTATATATTAATAATATTACTAAGATAGGGTTAACAGGAAACATAACTTTGTATGCGAACGATACCTGTTTGTCTCTTTTATTTTGGTAAAGACATTAATGAAATTATTAAGGAAGCATAAAACCATTTGAATATCTATAATAACTGGTATCATATTATCTTTTAACTGTTAATGCAAAAAAGATCTCATATGATATTTGCGTCTAAAATAAAACTATCCCTCAGCACGTACCGCTAACTATTAATAATAAAATGATCCACCACTCGCACCAAGAGCGATACTTAGAACTGCATTTGGATGATAAACTCACTTGGAGATGTCACATCGAAAAAGTTAGATCGAAACTATAATTGCTTTGAATGATGCGTTGCGAATACGAGTCTTTTTTGTTTTTTTATAGAATAAGGGTGACAAACAAGCACACAGTTCACTTGATGGTAAGTGGATGCTGTGGCCCATAGACATCTACATTTCTCCTCGATTAAAAATCAAAATGCAAGTGCATTGTCACCCCTGCGGCAAGGATAGAATGCCTCGTTTCCAGTAAAAAAGGGTCTCCGGATTTCTACACTCACTAAACGAAACACAGCAGTATTAAGCTGGTATTCTGTGAGAGCGTGGTCCTTCCCCGGTCGAGCCGACTAATAATATAGCTGCAGCATGGCTCTACCACGTATAAAGGGTGACACTGAAAGTTCTTAGAAAATCAAAAACTTAACAAACTAGCAAGTTATTAGTTTTATTATATCTTTTAAAATAGTGTCCATTCACATCAATACATCGCTGCATCCGATGGAACCACTGAGAAAAGCACTTTGCCAACTCTTCCTTAGGGGTCTCTTCGACGGTATTTTGAAACGCAGCCACTGCTTCCTCGGCATCCATAAAGTTTTCCTCGAAGTTTTTCTTCTATTTTCGGAAATAAATAAAAATCGCAATGTGCGGTCGGGGCTATAGGGTGGGTGACCTAGTAATTCCACGTCTGATGCCGCCAAATAGTCGATTTTTAATTCAAAATGTACAAAATTTTAATAATTTCTGAAAAGACGAGTCTACTGATAACTTAAACTACTTAAACAACAGTGTGACCATATGTGGCAGGTTCCTGCCATTTTGAAAGGATTGGCCACTTAGTTTTGTCTTTGGCATGAACGGTTGACGGTACAAAACCTGGCAGTTTTGGTAGTATTGGGGTATTGAAAATAGATTTCGTTATGGCAACTCAAAATGCCTAAAATGACAACCAACTAGACAACAAAATGGAAAACAGCATGTGGGGGATTTCCCTGTACTTCTCGTATTATGTTTGTATTACATTCAATAAACAACTTTAAAAATTTGTATGTAAAGTTGATAATATTAAAACAAGTATTCATAAAAACCAGTTTATGGTCATAGAAGAGACACTTAAAATATGTATGCACTGCATATTTCGCAAAGGGAGTGTTATGCTTACCAATGTCCAACGCTGGATGCGAAATAATATTCTCTCAAATAAAGTTAAGATAAAAACACGAAACAGATTTATAAACATAATATAGCGTCTATCTTGCACGTTAAACAAAGCATTGGTGAGCATGGCGGTTGTATTGCATTCAAACCAACGAAAGTTATGTTAAATCTAATGAAAAAAACCATTTATAAAGATGAAAAAAAATGAAGAATATGATACTAACTGCAATGTTAAATTTTATAAAAATATAGCTTTTAAAAAGTGTGTTTTTACTTTTCTTAGTTTAATGTTAAATAAATAAAGTTAAAAAATAAAGTTTGAAGTTTAAAGGGCAGCATTTTTCACTACACACTTTAGCAGGTTTTCAACCAAAGTAAGGCAGGATCTGTATTATAAAGATTTTTATTAAAAAACTTAAATCCCCAAGAATCACATCGGATTAAATGTTATCAGGAAGATGCTACCTCCCCTGTTTTATTTCTCCCTGTCATCTCTTACGACACCCACTGACCCACGGTGTGATATGGCGTAGTGGATTATTTAAAGCTGTCACTGCATCGTTGGTCTAGTGGTAGTAAGCGTGGCTGCTGATTGTGAGGTTCTAGGTCGTAGTAGCAGCCTGGAATCAGGAAGTTAGCAGTATTTTACCTCGGTAAGCACGTAAAGTTGATCCCGTGCCTGATCTCGCTCCGGACGCGTCGGATTTTCGTCCCATCGGATTATTCGAGTAAGGGGATAGAAAGTGCGCCTGTGCTTGCACATACATTCTGGCACTATAACCCTGTTCTGCGCAGACAGCTGGTCTCCGTTGAGACTGGTCGCCATGACGGAAATTCGGTCTGGAGAACATTAGATCTACAAATCGATCAATTCTGTACCTGAGAGGCACACGTTGACAAAGTATGCAATAAACTGAATCGGTTTGTTTCCGCCGAACGCAGTCTGCGAAAAACGGCCAGTACTCATACAGTTGTTACAGTATGCCATGGTTATTAATTATCGTCCGTACTGAATTATGGACTATTGGAATTTGTCAGCGTCAAAATTCCTACGATCTAAATAATGTGTTCATGAGACACTACAGAAGTGAGTTCGTATAATGTGTAGTGGAGTTCCTTTTGAATTTTGTAGACTAATTTACTACTTTGCATGTACATCTTTGAATGTAAGAAATTTGTATAATGTAACCAACACATGTTGAAATCAATAAAATTTATTGAAGTAAAATCTATAAGGAAATAAAATCAATTTGGAAATGCTCAATCAATGCCTGTTGGATACTTACTGTTCTTCTGTGCATTTTTTGGTGCCTAAGTACCTTTCAGAGCAGGGTTTACATAGACTTACTAAATTTACATTTGCAACATAGATTTGCTTTATCACTCTTAAAAAAAAGAGTTACAAGGCAAATCTATGTTACAAGAAGTGAACGACAGAGTGAACTTAACATGCAGCGTGTGCGTAGGTATATGGATATAAAGGAGGCGAGAGGTGTCAAGATCGTGCTAAATGGAAGTCCGTAATCTCTGCCTACCCTGCTGGGTGACAGACGTGAGTATTTATGTATGTATTATGTAAGATAATGAATGTGTTGGCGGAACTGATACTTGAACGTAAAACACACATTTCAACAAACAAAGAATTGATTATTGTTCACTGTTTATGGTGTTTTGATGTCGCAATTAATAAACTAAATATTCATACATTACATACACAGAATGAGCTAGTTTAATTTACGGAAATTTTATTTTGAATGTTTTGGATTAATTTTATGAGTATTATTATGTTTTGTGTCTACCAAATTGCAAACACTTAAAAATTTGCGATGCAAGCAAATGAAATGCGTTATGACCTAAAATATTATACCACCCCCTTTTAAAAAGCGGCTAATGTTTTAGTAGACATTGGATAGAAAATTGTTTAGGTAGTAGAATTTAGTAGTTTTGTCAAATAAAATCCAGTCACGCTGTAGTGGATGGATGAACTGCGGTTTTCCGATGCCGACTCGGTGAACACTCACAAATGTATACAACATGTAACATAATTAACGCACTTTGAGAAAGTAGTTTGTTCAGAATCGTTTACTGAATCGATTCCTATGATTTTTATTATAATCACACTAAATCTGTACAGTCAAAACAAACTGAAATGGACCGTAACTTAAGGCAATAAGACTTTTAAGAGTGCAGTTTTATTTGTATTATTACTAATTCTGTTATTCAATAAAAATAAAGAAAAATGAACTTTATTTCAAGCACGTTAAAGTCTTTGCGTTCGTGGATTTGTACTGTGACCACAACATTCTTCTGGAATTAGTATAACTAATTTGATAAATAATCAGTGCATAAAAATGTTTAACTAAAAATTCAGTGTATGTATTATGATTATAACATAATATCTTATTGGGGTGTCTGAGGGTGTGCGTTAATTACATTACATATTGTATATATGGTCAAATATACATAGAAGGCTCAAGTAAATAAAATGATTTTTGGTGAATGTGTTTATTGATAACAACTTAGAAAAATACCAACATGTATAATTAAACTAATATATAAATATTATAAATTAAACGTTTTCGCTAATCACCAGCAATTCTAATAAATACATCACACGCTCAGTTACTTCTTTGGCTGACTTGTGCGACAGACTTTCAGTTATCGTTTTTAAAACTTCTTTCTCCTCCAAAATATCTTTTACTGTTTTATTCTTGCGTTCTTCGCGAGTTAAAGAATTTTTCACTATTTCCAAAATCAATTTGTCTTCGCACCTTTGCCATTCGGGATTTTCTATTTTGACCGTTCCCTCATCATCTGATATTATTTCTAATTCAAGTTTAATATCACTATCATCACTGTATTCATTAGTATCGAGATCATTTGCCGACTTTTCCTGTAATTTCAATAACTATTACTATAAAAATATCAACATATTTATAGAGACATAGTAAAACAGACGCCCAACTCGCTTTAGGGTAAGGTTAGATTAGGTGGGAAATTACTTCCCCCTCCCCCCGAATGAGTTCCCGCCTTGTCGTGGCGGGGGGTGGGGTTGGGAGGGCTTAGTAGCCGTGGCTTGGTCACCCGCGGTGAACAAAGAGGAACCTACATTGCTGGCCCGAGGTGAAGGGCCGGCCCGAGATGGCCACTCCAATTGGGCTTGGCGAGCCCACTTCGGATGTGTGCCGGTGGGCTGCAGCGAGAGGGGTGTCTTCTCCCCCTACCGCTGCAGTCGAGGTGGAGTCGCGGAGGGAGAGGAGTGTCGGTATTGCGAGGCGCCGCTTTCCCTACCCTCCGCAGCTGATTCTTGGTTGGCGGCGGAGCAATAGACCAGATCCGCCGCTGGGGTCAGGAAGGCTAGTGCTTCTGAGTGCTCGTTTTTCCTGGCGCAGGTGTAGTTGGAGGCCGTGGAGGAAGGCGCTATGTGTTCTGGTGCGCCTTACTTTAGAAGGAGAAAGGGGAGAGTAGTCCTCTTCCGAGGAGGCGCCGCCATGGGGCAGCCGGCGCTGGTGGGGCTGCGGATGTGTGCGAAAGCATTCCCGTGGCCCTGCCAATAAGCGACGAAGGTGTAACACCAAGGGGTTTTAGTCGGTGCGAGTCCGACATAACCCTTCTTTGCACCCGCGAGGCAGGTATGCGTAGGCATTACCCCATGTAAAAAAAATGTGTGAAACTACTTTAACTCATTAGGTGGAATTCTCCGTCTAATATGAGCTGACCTGTATACCTCAAAGCACACAAGCTAATAAAATCGATAACTACTGACGGAATTTTAACTGCAATTTTAGGTGGCAAATTACAAGTGGATGTGAGCAGTGCTTACCATCCGAATCCAAATCGAATATGAGTAAGCGCAAATCTAGAAAAGACCGACAGAAGTCAATTGTACAATGCGTCCAACGGAATGCGAGAAGATATACTATTGTATTTAAACACTTGAGGGTAAGAAAGTTTTGGACATTCTGAGGCGTTATTTCATACAGCTCTTAGGTATATCTTTTATTATTTGTACTCTCAATCGCCGTCAACTTTTCGCTCTAATATTATAACGTAAAGGACGCAGGCACTGACCTTTATATATACACTGGACTGGCTATACCATAGAAAATGACTGTGTCAATTTGAAGCGCCGCTAAAGGATGTCTTGAAAAATAAAATTGACATATTATGCCAAAGTTTGTTGTCATATTTAAATTGTCTTATTTAATAAATCTGTATTTTTAAATTTTAAACTAAAAAGCGAAAGTATTTTATGTTCTTTAATTGTGTATAATATTAGTTACATAATAAGTATTATTTTTATTAATAATGAGAGTGTGCGTAATCTGTAAAACTCGTTACGAAAAGGGAAGTGGTATAACATTTCACAAATAAGTGAATTTGCAGCAAATATTAAACAAATTAAAAATATTTGATAATATAAGTACTTACAAATTTGTTACTAATCTTAATATCATATATACCAACATCTTTGGCTGTATATTACTGAGTTTTGATAAACAATAAAATTTTAATAGGGTTGTCGAGTTCCTTGTCTATAATACTTATCGATGTTCTTTCCTACCCATATCTCTTAACAAACAAAATCGCCAACAACAGGCGATTATCAAATGTTTATTAATTAACAGGTTTCCAACTGAACCTAGACTAAAATTATGGCTTAAAAGCATAAATATTGTGAATTGGCGTCCGAAACAAAATGATCATATTTGTTCCAAACATTTCACAGACGACTGTTTTATTAGACATGAGAACTGCATCACTTTGAAAAACCACTACCAGTAAGTATAAAAGTATTAGATTATTATTTCTAATGTATTTTTTATTTCTTCTTTCCTCATTTTCCACCAAATTCAAGGGCCATAGCCAAGTGTCGAAAGGTCGCCTGATGATGTCGAGTCACGTTGCAAGTGTTTTAGTGGGCTGAAAAAAAACTGTATCGGTGACTGATCTTTGCTGCTGGTAATAAGTTGTTTAGTTTGTTGTTTCCTCGCTTGAAGGAGGCTAAGTATAGCCAATCAGAGAGGACACGTAGCCAGCATTCTTGGGACGATACCATGGAAAGTAGGACTGTATGATAATTTCAGTTATTTTTTTTTAATATTGTTATTTTAATTTCGAAAATGACGTTGTAAATAACTGATAACTATGTAATTCAAAGTTTATAACATAACATACATAACATAAACACTCACGCCTGTCACCCAGAGGGGTAGGCAGAGACTACAGACTTCCATTTAGCACGATCCTGACATACCTTTCTCGCCTCTTCATCCATATACCTACGCATACATGCTCGTCGGTTAAGGGTACTCTTAATTTGGCCCATTTTTAGTATATCGCCAATTTGGTCGACAAACTTCCGCCTAGGACGTCCCTTTCCGACTCTTCCATTCACTTCTGCAACATATATTTGCTTTGTCAGTCTTTCCGCATTCATTCTTTCTACATGACCAAACCACCGAAGCATTCCTTTCTTAATCCTGGTCACCGCATCATCTTGCAAACCACACTCTTCTTTTATCACACAGTTTCTCACCCTGTCACTCAGATTCAGCCCTAACATACTCCTTAGCGACCGCATTTCTACTGCATTTATTCTACTCTCGTGCTTCTTCTGCCACACCCAAATTTCACTACCATACGTTAAAGTAGGGACTAATACAGCACTGTGAATTGCCATACGTGCCTTTTTTGACACATTCTGACTTTTCACAATAGAGTGTAGAGCCCCATTTACTTTATTTCCTGCATTCACTCGTCGTTCAATATCCTTATCATAAGTTCATCAAAGTTTATATTATTTAATATTATCTTGCTAGCTCGTACCCGGCGCATTGCTGCTGCAGAAGAAATAATTGTGGAAATATCGTTAAAAATGTGGAACAGTTACATTGTATAATTAGGAATGATAATAAAATCATTGAAATAGAATGATATATAACTTTCTAAAACTTTCAAATAAGTAGTCAGTATAATACACACGCCACCTAGTGTCAGTTAATTATCCCTTGCGTATAACCATCGCACAAGTGCAACCAATAAGTTGACTAAGTTTTACCACAATCTGATGAACGGTATAGCATCGTAGAAAGTACGAACAAACATAAATTTTTATATAGTAACACCCGTATTGATAAATAGTTATCATAGCAGCTGATTTGTTTTTTATAATACTAGAAATAAATGAACGGTTGACAATAAATTATTTTAGAAATTATGTTTTTAATTTTATTTTGTGTAGATAGTTTAATCTTAATAATTTTTAGTTGAATGGTCTAAGGGCTACGATGGCTATCCGAGTACAGAACCAGAGTGCAAAACTAATCCAACTGTAGAAGGAAGAAGAATGCATTGGAAGAAGTTTTCAAGCTACTGGACTGGAAAGGATACGGTATTAACGTCAATGGCGTGTACGTCACTTACCTTCGATTTGCCGACAATATAGTCCTTATGGCAGAATCGTTGGAGGACCTACGCACTATGTCCAATGACCTCAATAGTGTCTCCCAACGGATATGTCATAAGATGAACATGGACAAAACAAAAGTCATGTCTAATGTCCATGTCACACCTATGCCGGTGGTTTTTGGGCGCACTTAGCTGAAGTTGTTGACGAGTATTTTTACTTGGGACAAATAGTCTGACTAGGTAAGTCAAACTTCGACCGACAGGTCAATCGACGGATTCAACTCGGCTGGGCAGCGTTCGGGAGATTACAACACATCCTCTCGTCAGGAATACCTCAAAACTAGATTGTGCAACCAGTGCGTGTTGCCAGTGATGACCTATGGATCTGAGACGAGGTCTTTCACTGCTGGCCGTATGAGGAAGCTTGAAGTCGCTCAGCGAGCTATGAAAAGGGCTATGCTCAGGGGTTCAAACTTAGGAATGAGGATATTTGCAGCAGAACCAGAGTGACCGACATCGCCCAATGGATTAGTATGCTGAAGTGGCAATCGACCGGCCATATAGCACAAAGAACCGAATACCGATGGGGAAAAAAGTTTCTCGAAAGGCAGTCTCGTACCGGCAGGTGAAGTGTAGGACGTTCCCCCACTAGATGGAGTTAAAACCTGGTAAAACATGCAGGAAGTCGATGGATGCAGGTGGCTCAGGACCGTGCTTTGTGGCATTCCTTGGGAGAGGCCTATGTTCAGCAATGGACTTGTGAAGGGGTTTAATGATGATGAATGATAATGGCATTACATTAATATGATACATAAATAGAATGGACGTTACGGGTAGAGTCCATCTATCCATGGAGTCCATTCTATTTAGGTATAGGTAGGGTATAGAATTTTTATCGATATAATTTGCTACACTGTCTCATCCCTATTATTAGTTCCGTGGACGTGCACTTCTGCTGTCAGCGCCAAAATGGCGGAAATCAAATCGCTTCATCATGTCATGGTGTATAGCCAGTCCAGCGTACTTGTATATATAGAGGTCAGTGGACGCAGGAGAAATGAAAAGTTCTGTATATACCGTCAACATCACCACCGCCCGTTGATGTTTCCGAATCTATTCAGAAGCATTGTGCAAGCGTTAATACAAATAACACTGTGGTTACCTCGAAATGAAAGATATGCTCGACTTCTACGGAAACGAAAACGAAACTGTAACCTCATTACGGCTACATTGTATGAACATTTCTCGGAATTGGATCGGATGCAGTGTGCAAGGACTCAAAACGAAACGGTTCAACTTCTGCTGCAAAAGTATCGTAGTACCAACAGCGTCAAGACAATGGAAGCATCAAATGATTACCATCAAAATCAACATTAAGCTAACAACATTAGCTTGCATAAAAGTTCACTAAATAAGAGAAATGCATTACTTATGGAATTTTAAAATTAGCATGTTTAAGAAGTAAAAAGCAATCATTATCATCATTACATCCCTTCACAAGTCTACTGCTAAGTAAAAGCCCCCAAAGAATGTCATAAAGCACGGTTCGGAGCCATCTCAATGCAACAACTATTTGCATGTCTTCACTCTATTTATTGTTATCTAGCCCAGTACCAGCTCGTCACTCTATCTGGTGGGGAAAATTAAGTAAAAAGTAGAATAAAATTAAGAAGAAAAAGGAATACTTTTTTAAGTAAGACTACTCGATCTTTGGTTCGGCTCCATATTAAAGTCCTTCGAGTTATGAGACATACTCGTATTTTCTTCGGTGGACTGTTCTGTCATTAAGTGGTAAAACCCGTTATATGTCTAAGAAGCCGTTTGGGTAGGTGGCAGGGTGCACAGCTATTGAGTTACGGTCTGAAGGGTATAAAGTTTTTTTTAATAGGATAGGATGACAAACGGGCACACGGTCCACCTGATGGTAAGTGGCTACTGTGGCCCATAGACATCTACATCTATCCTCGATTACGAATCAAAATGCAGATGCGTTGTCATCCGTGAAAACTTAGGTGAAATGCCTCGTTTCCACTAAAAAGGGTCTCCGTTTCTCTACACTCACCATACGAAACACAGCAGTATTAAGCTACTATTTGACGCTGGTATTCTGTGAGAGTGTGGTCCTTATCTGGTCGGGCCGACCCATTCGTGCTACAACTATACTACTAATATAACTGCAGCATGGCTCTACCACGTAAAAGTATATTTACAGGTTGGAAAGCATCTGCAGCCTTTTTTGTTAAAAGTAAACTGCAGGTGTTCATTGAATATAATCCCCTTATTATCAGATTGACTGTAAGTTCGTATGCCACTTCGTTGTTATCAAAAAAAGTTTAAAAAAGCAAATTCTTTGCCAGATCGTCTATGAGAAGGAATTGTTCTTGAACCGGTGTGGATTTTGATGTAATATCATAATTTCGAAATCATCATCATCACAGCCCTTCACAAGTCCACTGCTGAACATAGGCCTCCCCCAAGGAATGCTACAAAGCACGGTCCTGAGCCACCTACATCCATCGACTTCCTGCATATCTTACCAGGTCGTCACTCCATCTAGTGGGGGGAAGGGGGTCGCCCTTGCCGGTACGAGGCTGCCACTCGAGAACCGTTTTTGAATTAATAATGAAGGTGAACTGTTTAGATCGTTATAATTAATAATAAATTTTTTGAATTAATAATGAAAGTGAACTGTTTAGATCGTTAAAATATATCTGTGTGTTAGTGTAATGGAGAAAGGTGATGTTAAGATAGTATAGACCAGATTTTCATACTAACCGGCTGGGACTGTTCTTCTATTGGTGAGTCCATGTTTTGATCACCTTTATAATTTTCAGCATTATCTCTTTCTTCTTTAATTATTCTATCGCTATCTTTATTTGCATTGTTATGGTCACTATTCTCATTTTCGTTCAATTGATTTTCTTCAGTATCACTGACATCGCCAGTACTAAAAATGATACAAGTTATTTTAATGTGATTATTCCCTAGATACTATCAATACGAATAGAGAAACATTCACTTTTGTCAATGATGGCTACGATTTTTTTTCCACTAGGGCTGCGCTACTTAGAAATAAAATAAATTTTACAGATTTCATAAAAGGAAAGTTAAATTATTAAGAAAATGTAAGAGTTGTGTAATATTTATTTCTGAAATATTAGTCGTATTTTATAGTAATTAGATAAGAAATGGATGAAAGGACGGATATTCGTTAGGGTAATATATCAATAATATATAAATATATAAATAAAATGTGCACAAAAATTGAGGAGCAAACCAATAAGGCATTGTTTTATGTATTTTCATACTCTACAAACCGATAGGCTTCGCACGCACTGCGATTAAACGCTCGCGTTTAACCGCACGTATGAAACCGCAAAAAAAATGTAACCTATTGCTTTCTATACAAGCGCACACATTAGCGACTTTTTTCAGTGACTGATTTTAAAAACGTAACTTGCTACACTTCGACCGCGGTTTGTAAGCGCGCGCTTTTTATGTGTCCAATCGTAATAGTATGGCAGCGCACGCACTGCGGTTAACCGCATTCGGTTTCGACTAAACGAGTGCAGAGGACAGTCATTTTTTGCGGTACTAATTAGTAGCAAATGTATCCTTTCAAATGTGTTTTATCTGTTAGTGGATGTAGCCAGTACTTATGTCAGCGCCATTGTTTACGTTTCCTATTTTTTAATTTAAAAGCCAAAGCTACAACACACCCTACTTGCTCGAAATCTATGGTGGTACTGAAATGAAATTAAGCAAAACTCCAGCCGCAGTGCGTAATGGTATGCAGTTTTGCGTTTTCAGCTATTCCTAAACCGCTCGCGTTTAATCGCAGTGCGTGCTAAGCCATAAACTTATAATGAAAACGCAACTTCTCAATTGTAATGACATTGTGTAACAAAGAGATTTATACATACTTAAATGTCTGTGATAACAGTCCCAACGTATTAAACATTTTAGGAAAATAATCAACGAAAATCTCTTCATTTCACATTTTTTCCGATTATCTAACCACTGATGAAACCCTGTTATCAAAAAGTATGGATTACACAATGACGGAAGCTGTCTCTATTCAGGACATGAGACATCATAGAAGAGCTACGAATGGACCTTGCCAAAACACAAAATGAACTTGAAAACATTATTCTAGACAATAACGACCTCCGTTCACAAGTGTCCAACCTAACAAAGAAAATAACACATAAAGGCTTTTCTATCTAAAACACCGCCAAAGGAAAGTAAATCAAAATGTAGTACCAAAAAGAAAATTAAAAGTTGTCTACAATATTCAGATATAAATATAATAGCCACACCGCCCAGGACATCCAGTGACAACAAAACAAATGAATTCTCTAACAGGAACATCCTAACCCTCTAGCAGAAATTTAAAGATCTCGAGCTGCAACTGAAGTCAGCCGAAAATAAAATATTGGACCTTAATCTACAACTTCAATAGGCAGTACAAGCAAAAGAATCCGAAGAATCCTCGCTAATTAATCATACAAGTAATGTAAACTCAGAAATCAATCAAAGTAAAAGACCCAAATTGTGTATCCTGATTAACAGCTCATCCTGGAGTACGCTGTCAGCTGTTGATGCTACGTTCAATAAACACTTTGACTATAGCTGCTATTTCGTGCCGAATAGTGTTCTGTTCTGAAGTAAATATTTAATATTTATATATATATAATAAAATATTAAATATTTACTTCAGAACATTGAATAAAAATTGCATTGATACGATGTGGGACTACTGTATTATTATGATAGATGAAAAATATTTTAGGACCACATGTGATTGTATATAGTTAGTAAAAACCATAAGGGAAGCATTACACCATATTTCTCATACTAATATAATTATATTGAACCTACATACGTATGTGGATCACCAATATATAATTATAAAATAGAATTATTTAATAATTTAATGTATTTGGAATTATAAAACAATCATTATGCATACTTTTATGATTCCAATTTCGTAACTTCATTTGAAATGTACTTTTTAAAACTGGGAAAATTACTATAAAGGGAACACAACATATTTACAAAAATATGTAGATAATATAAATATTGACTATAACTACTATGGTTACCCAATATTCACACCTCGAAAGACCAATCCGCAAGTAGATAGTACTAAGTTTTTTCTCGTTTAGAACAGGCCACAAAACCGAATAAACGTAATAATAAAGTACGATCTAAAAAAAAAACAATTGTACTATCAAAATGTAAGAGGCCTACGCACAAAAACTGTTACTTTTCATAATAATATATCTTTATAATATCAAGTGATCTTATCATACTTAGAAACTTTTCTCAACGATTCTGTATAGGACTCTGAACTGTACCCTCTTGAGTATATTGTGCTAAGGAAGGATCGTGCAAGTAACGTCGGATAGGGTAGTGTTCTTTTAGTAGTAAAGAATAGTTTTACCGTTAAAAGGATTACAAACATATATGGTTTAACCGATGATAAAGAATTTTGCTATTTTAACGTCTAAAAATATTAAATTCTTAGTGTATGTTGCATATTTACCACCAAACTTCAACGACAAACAATACCTTGATGTACTAAGTTGTATAGAAAATGCCATTAAGACTGACTATAAATTCTTGATTGTTGATGATTTCAACTTAAAGTCTTGTAATAAATCAGTTTAAACTCAGTTTTATAATTTCTTAAAAAGTTTCAACTTACAGCAATGTAATGCTTGTAATAAATATGGATGCATCTTGGATTCGGTATTGCCTAATCTAGGCTCCGGAAGTTGTACTGTGTTATTTGAAGTTGGACCAGGGGTACCTATTGATGCTTATCATCCTTCGTTAGAGATCGTGCTTAGACTACCAACAAGTGCTGTAATAAACATACCATTTCCGCCATGTCAGAACCTAAGCACAGAATGGAATTTCCGTAAAGCGGATCTCTACGGCTTGTACACTGATACAAATGACTTGGACTGGACAGTCCTAATGCACCAACAGAACGTAAATGTAGCTGTTGAGATCCTATATAATAAGCTTAATAAAGTCATCAGTAGACGAGTTCCCTATAAATCAATAACTACCAATCATACATGTATATATACCAAAATGGTTATACTAATGAAAACCATGTATATAATGATGGTGGAAAAAATCCAACGTAACTTCGCCAGATATTTGTACAAACGCCAATATGGGTACTACCCATTTCTATATCAGTCATCATTGGTGTGGATACCCTAGTGTAGGCAGGAACTTATGCATATAATACATTATTATTTTTTGTTAACTAATAATGTAGGTAACTCTGCAGTACGTGAGACCATACATCTTTATGTACCGGACCAATATATGCGAGGCGCTTGAAGACGAAAGCGTAGACTCCTCTCCTGTCCGCATACGTGGCGCTCCCCACACGCGGATAACTGTCCCACTTCAGAGCCGTTAGACTAATAAACTGTTTCCTCAGTGCCAATACAGAACAGATATATTTTTTGACAAACCTAGCGTAATGTATAAAAATGTGTTAATTTTCTTAAATAACCTTCGTAAGATAGAAGAGTAGTATAAGTTTAGGTAATTAAGTTTTATTTATGATAAAGTAAAAAGATCTCATTATAAACTGTTGTGGCTGTAATTTATACTGTGTATGTTAATATTTAACTATTATTATTTTTTTTCTTGTGTATTTTATTTTATTTTGTAAGTTTAGTATAGATATAAGCGATTTGGTTATATATATGTATATACTGTAAGCTTATATTTTATCAATAAATAAATATGAATATAAAATATTCGAAAATTCCTTTTTTACAACATACAAAATTTGTTTCTTTATCGTTGTAGCGGTGTAAAAATATCTACTACCCCATAATATCATCCCGTGGATGTCATCAGAGAGAAATAAATCGGGAGGGGGGCAGCAGCATCATTCAAATAATTACTAAAAATAAAAAAACTGCGGTTGCCAACCCGTTTGCCAAGCCTGGCAACTATGGCAAATAATAAAAAGTATGGTAAATAGTAAAAATAATAAAATAATAATTGAAAAAGGCCTGTGTTCAGCAGTGTACTGTGACTGTTACGGCAACGGTCATATTATTATTTATCTTCATATTCATCCATTCCATTACCTTGACGAATGGTCATCCTCGTAATCCATCCCAGTTTGACTTTCATCACATATCCTAAGCTCGTCCTCTTCATCTCGTGTAACATTATTTTGTACACTTGACTCAATTGTACTACTTGACTCCACGTTCAAACTTCTAGAAACAGTCGGTCGCACTATTTGTCTGTAATGGAAAACTGTACTTTGTTTTATCAAGCCACGGACGTGTTTTATGGTTTTATCCTCAATTAAGAATCAAAAATGCATATGCATTATCACCCCTGAGGACTAAGATGGAATGCCTCAATTCCAGTAAAAAGGGTCTCCGATTCTCTACACTCACCATACGAAACACAAGAGCATTATGCTGCTATTTTACGCTGGTATTCTATGAGAGCGCGTTTCTGCCCCGGTCGAGCCGACCCATTCGTGCTACAACTATATTATACTTGCAGCGTGGTAAAAATAAGTAATAAGTAATGCTAACTGCAATTACCAAAAATAGTTATAAGTAATGCTACCTGCAATTATGCATACAAACACACGTGTCTCCACAAATCACAACTACTAGCTACTGTAACTAGTACAAGTAAGTCTCATCTGCCTTTGTGAGATAAGAGGATATTGCCCCAAAAAAAAAAAAATTTTTTTTTTTTTAAAACAATTTTTTCCCCCCCTTTTTTTTTAAATTTTTTTTTTATAATAATAAAAAAAAAAAAAAAAAAAAAAAAAAATTTTTATTGTGGGGTTAAAAAAAAAAAAAAAACCACCACTTCTTCTTTTTTTTTTTTTTTTTTTTTTTTTTTTTGGGCCCCATCATAATATAAAAAACATTATTTATTTTTTTTTTTTTTTAAATAAAAAATAATAAAAAAAGCCTACCAAAAAAAAAAAAACTTCAAACTCTACTTTTTTTTTTTGCTCTGTGCCCCCCCCCCCCCAAAAAAAAAAACCAAAATAACTTTCTTTCCTAAAAAAAAAATATTAAAAAAAAATAAAAAAAAACAAATATATAAGAAAATAGGATAAAAAAAAAAAAAAAAACAAGAAAAAAACAACCACAAAAACAACCAACACTTCCCCCTTTCATTTTTTTCTTTTTTTTTTTTTTTTTAAATTAATAAAAAAAATAAAAACAAAATAATCTTTTAAAAATCACCAACTTTTTATAAACTATATGTGATGGAACTGGGGACTACAAGAGCCAAGTGACCTCTAATGATGCACGCACACATTGACACAATCAACGTGAACGCCATCTAACGACAGTGAGGTTAAACTAACGGATTAGCGAGGTTACGAGTGCTTTAATAAATAGAGCGCAAGTAAGATATAGGTATAACTAATAAACAAATGGATGGGACAATGAAATTATTTTTAATTTGAGTGTTGCTTGAAAATTTAAGGATGTAGGTGATTTTGAAATAAAACTGATTCGATTAAACTTAAAAAATATTATTCAAGAATCCCTATTAAAAAATGTCGAGTGGCGCCGTTTATAAATCTGTATGATATACATAAGGGGTTTTTTTTAATTTACATTATTCCACATTTAGTTTCAGCTTTATAATGTTATTTGTGGGGGAAAACTAAGCGTGTGCGCACTCCTATGTGTGCGATTCAATTCACAACGTTTTGTTATGAATCGTTATGAATATATTGTAAGCTTACTATGAGCTTCTTTTTACTTATATCAATAATTTCGCAATGATTTTCCTGTGTGTGTAGAACTAGTATATTTAGAATGTCAATTCTAAATATACTAGTTCTATGGTTCACAAGATTGGTAATTTTGCATTTCATTTATTTGTTTGTATCTGACTTTGAAAAATTGTTAAGCTACAAGTAAAAACCTAACATTCATAAATTAATACATTTTTTCATTTATAAAACTATTTAAATAATAAAAGACAAAAAAGAAAATTTGACTTCATATTCCTGGAATCGAACCCGGGCACTCTCGAGTGCATAGTGCAAATCCATACCGCAACCAAATACACAACTGTAATAAACTACGTTGCTAAAACTCACAGATTTATTGTTATAAAAATAAATATTTAGTAATAATAAAATTTTAATATCGTTTATACGTTAGGCGTTTGATTTATATGAGCGTTTTTTACTCTTTGTAACGGGTTTCACTTTATGTCCCATATTTACAAATGATAATTACTAACAAGGTACGCTATGTTAACTTAAAATATTTTATCTTTACACGATAAAAGAATATTTATGGAAAGAAAAATATTTATAAAACAATGAATTTGAAAATAAATATACAATATGTAATGTAATTAACGCACACCCTCAGACACCCCAATTAGTATATTTTGTTATAATCATAATACATACACTGAATTTTTGGTTAAACATTTTTATCCACTGATTATTTATCAAATTAGTTATACTGATTCCGGAAGAATGTTGTGGTCACAGTACAAATCCACGAACGCAAAGACTTTAAGGTGCTTGAAATAAAGTTCATTTTTCTTTATTTTTATTGAATGACAGAATTTGTAATAATACAAATAAAACTGCACTCTTAAAAGTCTTATTGCCTTAAGTTACGGTCCATTTCAGTTTGTTTTGACTGTACAGATTTAGTGTGACTGTAATTTACGTAGTTTTAATTATTTTTGGGATAAAAAATTACCTATATTAAAAATGATAGGAATCGATTCAGTAAACGATTCCGAACAAACTACTTTCTCAAAGTGCGTTAATTATGTTACATGTTGTATACAAATACATTAAACAATCTTTACGTAAATACTGCGGAAAAAGAGCGACACGTATATATAGCATCAGGCCTCGGCCTGGATTTTCTGTACACAGGCGTTTACGCACACACGCGTACATATTATGTCAGAAATAAGAATTATGCTATTTAAAAGAAATCAACAAGTTGGACAAAAAAATTAAAACATTATAAAGTTAATATGTTGCTTGTGATTTTTGTCAGATTATTATAATCTGACAAAAATCAGAATGATATGTGGTATATTAGTATGGTTTTTACACGTTTAAAAATTTTTAGAGGTATCTTTGTGATTTTTTTCTATCGTTATTAAATTAATAGTATCATGTTTTCATCACAATAACTAACTAGCATATATCCAGAAAAATATTATATATTTTTCTGGTTTAAATTACTGGAGTGGAGTTCTTATATGCCCCGTAACTATTATTTGAAAAAACAAATCCATGATGATATTTCTATTTTCATTATTTTTTTATACAAATACACAGACAAATAAAGAAAGGCCTGTTTTAGTACCAAAATAATATTTTGCTTTTTTTACAATACCTGTGTTTACGAACGGTTAAATAAATAAATAAAGATAGGCGAATCGCGTGCATTTCAAATCAACATTCTCAAATTCTTGACACGCACTTACGCACACGTCTTTTTTCTTTCTTTGTTTACAGCCCGTAAAATTACACTGTTGGACATTGTGTACGTAAAGTGCATTTTTATAATAAATTTTATAATAAATACATTTTTATAATAATAAATCGAGCGCGGTTTTGGTTTTGTTTCTAAATATTACGATGATAAAGTTATAATAGGTTATTGTAAAATGGTACACGATTTTTTGTCATACCTTGGTCTTTTATGTGGGAACAAAGAGAAGGTATACTGGGCTAATTCAGGATACCCGTCCATGAGCCTGAGTAGATCGCTGCAAGTCATGCACGCTGTTGACTTGTTGTCGGTAAATGCTGTAATAAGACGAGACAGTAATGCGTGCCTTTTACTTTTGTCCGTTACCACATCCTTAAAAAAAGAAATTAAATTATAAATTTATATGGTTGTAGAATTGATTCTTGACACCTGTTAGAAGTACGATTAGGTCAAATATGGACTCATTTCAGAATTTTACTGTTTTCGTTGACCGTCTTGCAGGAAATGTCTCCTCATTCTGTGTTTCAACTTAAGGGCTGTTAAGAGAGTAAAATAAAAGATTGTTAGTAATTACGATCTTATAGTCAATCAAATCTAAGAAATACCTTTTGACGTTTCACATTAATCATTCCGCGATAACTTTACACAAGTGTACTCACACGATTTAAAATAACCTTTTACGTAAATCTGAAGAATTATGAAGTTTTTCGAAAAAGTTTTTCAAATTCGAATCTTTCAAACAAAGCAAAATTTAAAAAAAAATAACCAGTATCAACTCTTTTACTTGACTTCGTTTCAATGATATGTTATTATGTACCTAACCGTAGTGTTTGGATGGTTAAAATTCATTGTTATGCGAATAATCGGCAAAAATATTCAAATAATCGGTAAAACTATTCAAATAATCGAATCATTAATTTTTGAAATGTATTATTTGTATAATTAAATTTTTATTTTTATAATTCCTTAAATTACATGAATCATGAATAAAACAAGTTTATTTATTTTTTACACATAGAGACATTAATTTTGACTGCATTATTGAAAATCAAATAATAATTCATCTAAACAACGACAGCTCAACTAGTTGTACTGAAAGTGATTGAATAAATTTATTTTTAATCTAGTTTCAATTTAAAATTTTTATAACTTTGCCTCTAGAAATAAGCAGTAACAACAAATACTAAGAAACTGATAAATCTTGTGTTTTAAAGAATCATGCCCACTTTCCATACATTGATTGACCTGTCACTTGATTGAATTTTGAGGTTATAACAGCTGTTAAATAAGGACTGTACACTTATTTTTCTTTCCACACCATAGTATAAAACCATTAAAAATCGTACCTTATCATAAACTAATATCATATATTAATAAGTTATAAAAAAAAGAAATTAGTTATTTTGAACATTCATAAACCACATGATGAATGAACAAGTTTTTCGCAGTCTGAAACGGAACGTGGAAAAAATGTTTTTAATATATTTTGGCATGGCTTTTGGGCCTTTGAGCCATTGTAAAGCACGTTCAGTCTCCAAAAGTCTATTAAGAACGATAAACAAAGTAACATTACTTTTTTCTGGCTTTATTTGAAAATTCAATTATGCGATACGAAATAAAAAAAAATATGCAATTTTATAAGATATTTTACATCACGCGTCTAGCGTTAGAAAATTTTCAGTTCAATAATGGACATGATTCTTTACTTATTTGTTTTAAATTTATTTTTGCATTATTCAAACCAAACTGTAAATGATTACCAACTCTGATTATTTAAGAATCGAATATTGTACGTTCCCATTTTTTGGTTGGCATGCTTGGTGCAATAAGTCTGACAGCTGTCAAAATGTATTTCTTAGATTTGGTTGACTATGTTATAAGAGTCGTATTGTGAGTGTAGAGAACCAAAGACCCTTTTTGGTGCAAACGAGTCATTCCATCTTAGTCCTCACAGGTGACAACGCATCTGTATTTTGGTTCGTATTTGAGTATAGATGTAGATGTCTATGGGCCACAGCAACCACTTACCATCAGGTGGAATATGTACTCGTTTGTCACCTTATCCTATTAAAATATTGAAAATGCACCTTAGGCCTTCATTGTTGGTTACAGGTGTTAATAGGCTACAGTAGCCACTACCAACAGGTGTACTATTTGATTGCATGTCATTAAAAATGGTAAAAAAATGATTACCTTTATCCTCTTCAACAAATTTGGAGCACATTCCTGAGTGAAGTAATCCCTAAATTTGTCTATTTTTTCCGCTTGTTCAGGTGTCAGAAATCTGAGGAACTCTTTAAATATATCAACAAGTTCAACGTCACATATTTTTTCCAAAGAGTTTGCTAGAAGCACAGGGTCATCAGATTCATGGTCAAAATTGGACAGCAATATGTAAATTTTTTGCTTAATATACCGATTCCTGACTAGTCCCAGCCGCAGTAACAGCCTCAGTTCAAATAACGTGACAAATTCTAAAAAATTTAAAGTACTTATAAGCATAATATACAAAAAAAAAATATGTTAGCATATAAATGTTTAAGAATGCTGCAAAAAAAATATTTATAGTCTTTTTTCCATCGGATGATAGGGTTAAACCGTGCTATTTTCATTTTTACAACAGCCAATATCACATCAAAATGTTTTTTTTAAACCGCAAGGTTCTTAACCATTTCCCTGTCCCATGAAGCATACATAAACGTTTCAATTGTTTAACTATTGTGTTCGGACAGGGAAACTGTTAAGCGACGCGTAGTTCACATGCCAGTTGCCTACTTTCTCTCAAGGTTGATCCGGCCCTGTCAGGCGGAAAAATCAGAACGGAAGGGGTTAATGTCCCGCTTCTGTACACCGATTATGAATCAGAATAAGATATATGTGCCTATACCTATAGTTGACCTACATGAGGGCTTTAAAAAAACATTAAAAAATTGTCAACAACATCAGTTCCCACGTAATCTACATTTTTTTTAACTGGCTTTACGGCTCTGGGTACTAGCCCTTCTGAGCCTATCATTTCTTTCAGAATCTTCATTTTATATATTTTTTCTTCACAATATGCTGATGCGTCACATTGCGAAGTTTTTGGGAGATTTTGATGACAGCTCAACGCAGCGGATTGTTGATGACGACAGCCACTCAAGTTCATAAGGCGCCCAAGCGATCAAATTAACTTGAGGTTTATATCAACGTCAAAGCACTTGTTTCGTCGTTTTCTCTAATATTTCACACGCGCAGACACTTAATTCACAAAATCACATCACTTTTAAGAATTAAAATCCACTTCAAACCATTATTCAAGCGACAAAACAGGAGCGACAGTCCGTCGACGGCCAAGTTCCCGCCAAAACTCTACGTAATCTACAGTTGGCAGACACACAGTTTGACAACTATGGTATATGACATTTTACACGTTTACAATAAATGAATACTACCGGCAAAATAAACTATACATTCATTCAATATTACCTATCAAATGTCCAGTCTTAGCATAGGCTTTCCCCATAAATTGCCCCATGGGCAAATTTACCATAGTTGTCACGCTTTGCAGACGGATTAGCAATCGCAATATTTTATTTTATTTTCTCCCATTTATACAATAAACGTTTTTAACATTTTCTTCTGCCGAACTGCATAACAGTTTGTCGGCTGTAATTCTCCTCTTACATGCTTATGTTTATGTAATCTTAAGTATAATTTCTTATACACATACTAACACCTAGTTTTTTTTTAAATTATGTCCGAGCAGCTATGCAGGTCTAGGGAAAGAGACCAGTATCATCACCTAAAAGATCATCGCTATGGCTATAGTTCACTGTTAAGCCCTATGTCTTCAATGAATAGAAGGAGTTGCTTAGCCGTAAGCAATTTCACTTCTTGCGTTCATCATCAACATCTAGTAACATTTATTTTATTTTATTTATGCATATTTAGTACAATGTTTGTAATTAGGTCTACATCAGCTAAATATTCAAATTGGTTCATTAGTTTTTTTAAATATACTTACACATATTATGTAAGTGCGTAAATATATTAACACTAATTCAACACACACTCAAACAGCACACATCACATATGAATTGCTAATTTTAACAGTACGTTACATGTGGCCTGTGGCCTACCCTTATGGACACAATGATAGATAATCTTTTCTTAGAATATTTTTTAAATGATTTTTCGAAATAACTTTACTAAGCAGGGCCGGAGGCAGCTCGTTATATAATTTGGGATAATCCATCGTCTTGTGGGCATATCGAAATAATTTTTAATTTTAGGTATTACATATTTTCCTTTTCTAGTGGATTGACTAGTTGGGTAGCCATATTCTCTTTCTTCTTTAAACAAATTTTTATTAAACTGTTCCTTTATTAACTTTATTTTCACTTTTTTGTCTACAGGTACAATTTTGCAAATTTTGAAAAGTTTATCATATTCCTTATTACACGCAATTTTCAATTTTCACTTTATTATTTACTAGTATCTTTAACAACCTTGTTTGTAGAGCCCTAACTGGACACTGTTGTCTTAAAAAGCACATGTCCATCCTGGGTCTAAGCAACTCAAGGATGTGTCGGTTCTTTTCCATAACGGAAGAAACGCCTTTGCACCTCCTAACTGAGTGCGGACCCTTACTGCGCAAACGTAACACTCATCTGGGAAACTATGTACTCCGCCCAGAAGACGTTAAATTGCTCACGGCTAAGCAACTCCTTGTATTCATTGAAGACATAGGGCTTAGCCGTGAACTATAGCCATAGCAGCGATCACAATAGATCTTTTAGGTCGCAGTGATACTGGTCTTTTTCCCTAGACATGCATAGCTGCTCGCACATAATAAAAAAATACCTTGTTTGCAATGCTTCGATTTTATTTAAATACACTGGGAACGTAAGTCCATAACTGCCCAACCCGTCTATAGTTGTATCCGCGAGCGCATAGTACAACATATGTAACATACTTCTGCTTAGCCCAAATTTTAGGTGGTACAATTTACCCAACACACCACATTATTTGTTACAAATTTGCTCAACATGTGTACTCCATACAAAATTTGTATATAGTTAGTCCTAAGTATTTATAGCATGAAACTTGTTCTAACTTTGTACATTTACAGTCATTTACATTGATATTTCTATGAAAACAATCGTAGATATGGCCCTTAATTAGCAATATCAGCGTGTTTTTGTTGCTTGTACGGCGAACATATTAACATAAATGTAGTTTTGCTTACATTAATTATGTAAGCAAAACCAAATTTATGTTAATATGTGCCGTGGTAGCTCAGATGGTTAGCGCTCGCTGTAAATTTCACAGTACGCGAGCAAACCGGGTTCCATCCCCGCCGGCACCAATTAAATTGTTAATTGCAATTTTAAGTGCTGATTTACCACGTGCTCGGCGGTGAAGGAAAACATCGTGAGGAAACCTGCATGTCAGAGAAATAAGAAAAAAAATATTTCGAAGACATGTGAAGTTCGCCAACACGCATTGGGGCAGCGCGGTGGACACTTCCTTGCCCTAAAACCCTCTCAGAAATGAGAGGAGGCCTGTGCTCAGCAGTGGGACGTATATAGGCTGTAACTTTACTTTTACTTTACTTTTACATTAATTATAATACCATTATCATGCGCCCATTTAACAATGTTGTCTAAGTAATTTGCAAACTATTTGTATCGTCTTTGGATGTCATCGGCATACATATAATACATTTTACATGATCATACTACTTTACTCATTCTATTTACATGTTTGTCGTCGTGCTTTAAGCTGTTATAAATGTTATATCAGATCACTGCGAAAATATTTTCTCTGTTTGGTTTCCCGCACTAAACAGTAAACATATTAAACAAAACTCCAAAACTTACGCACACTAAAACAATATGTATGTGAACATACACTATATGTAAGACCAAAGCGCCATTCCGAGATAAAAAATGTCTGATATATGATGGTGCCCATCCCCTATGCAGTTTCCTTCTGTCGCCTTTTACGATAGAGTAGTAGATTTTTTTGGCACACTAAACAGCAACATAAATGTAAACAAATATTGAAAAAAAAAACACTTTACCAATATCCTTAGGGTCACTTAAATCTTCTAACTCTGTAACTTCAACTTCAGGTACATTCGCATATTCTAAGTCATTTTCACCACATTGAGCTAATTCATACTTCGTATCCTTATGCACGTACATTGAACGACTTTTATAATATTTCAGGAGTAACCTCAATTTATTTGTTACTTTGGGACGTCTGAGGCTTCTACACGCACACGCAACGTTTACTTTATTAGAGTCCGGTTTGAAAAATTCTGTAATCGTGGTTTGACGTTGTCTACAAATTTTCCTCATAACAATACAACACATACAGTGATTTGGATCATTTGCCATATTTTTAGAATTAGATGCATTGCCAGCGGCCACATTTTGTACATTATCGGACTTTTCTTTTTCTGTAATACTTTCATTTGTCCTCATATTCGTTATATCAACATTGGCGTTTCCGGGAACGGTATTAACGTTGGCAGAGTCATCTTTAGGGTTTTGGCTGTCTACATTTGCTATGGAATTAGCCAGGGAATTATTCTCCACAGCACTACAAATTGGCTCAGAGACTGAGTTAACAGTTGTTGTTTGACTAACGGGAATCAAATACGCCTTGTCGTTCGCAATAATTATTCTCATGATATTCCCATTCGCAACTCCCGACTGTGCGGTTGTATTTACAGAGCTTTTGTCGATGTAAACATCGATTTTGTCAGGCACAGGTGGTTTTGGTGCGATTTTGGGCAAGAGGTACGTAGGTTCATTTGATATCTGTTTTGTAAAATCTATAGGTAAGGGTTTCTTCACAGCATATTGAATCTTTGTCCCTAAGTCGATATTAACTCCGTTTAGAGACATTCCAGTCATATTGGTACGGCGATGCAGAAAAGACTGAAAATTAACGATTCTTTCAATATGTTTACTTTGACTTCATTTTATATTACATTCATTGTGTTACAGTTCCCGGTAATAAATATTACACCAAGTTTTAGAAATAAATAGTCTAGAGATAGTTAATAATATTTACTTCCGGGTAATTACACTTATATATGCCTATGTGCGTGTGTGTTGTATTTACTTATCAACTGTGTGACTTGTAAGTAATTATTGTATGTATTCATTGTTTTATTTGTCGTATGTTCAAAACAATGTTGTACATAACTTATTAGGTAAATAATATTTAATAAAATTTAAAATTGAAAATGAAAAAAGAGGTAGAATTAACATTATTAAATAATTTGTAGGCGACAAGAAAAATTATATTGAAATGCTACCAAATATAATTAATTCAGTACTATCACATGCATTGAATAGACTTACCTTAAATCGTTTACTGGTTTTAGCAAGATGCCTAATCCAAATCCGGGGCATTTCATACTCTGGTTGTTCATACAGTGTGAGCTTTGGATTAAATGGTAACAGTTTGTGTACAACTGGCTCCACTTTGCGTGTAGCAAAGAATTTCTGCAAAAAAAATTTAAAGACACAAAGAAACAATCAGAGCTTATGCTTTACTCGTTGCATGTACTGTATGAATAACGTGGCTATTTTTATTATTGATTGGAAATGAATCAATTTGTCAAGTAATAAATTGTTTGCGTATTTTATGAAACCAATTTCACACCGATTGCAGTGTTTTCTTTAAAGAATGACTTTAATTTCACATTACGCACACGTTAATCGATTCCCGCCTAACTACGTTACCAAAATTAACCTGGGTGTTATCCCTGGGCGAGATCCCGTCCTGTAAAATCATTTTCTGTTTACATTTGACCTAAATGATTAAAAATGATCGAAAGCACACAGTTCCGACACCTGTTACCACCGATCACCGTAAAAATGTTTCACAGCTATAAAACAAATTTGCGTTCAGCTTTCCCCGAAACGAAGTATTGAAAAAGGTAGGTTTCATTTAAAACGAAACTTTTAGTCACGTTATGTGTGAGAAATTTTATATGGAAATATTATATATTGTTGTAGGGCAGACTTGTTATGATCGGCACGCTTGATAGACGATCGCAGTCTGACGTCTTGCACCTTTGACGCTGCTCTTCGTCGAAGTTCTGAGGATTCATATACGCACATAATGTAATATATCATTTACATTTGGCATAAACGACAGACATTACGACGATATCTAATCATTATCAATACAACCTTTCAAATTCCACTGCTGAACATATGCCTCCCCGAAGAGTACCTCATAAATAGGGATACTTGCTGTAGTTGCCTCGCTTAGGAGCTTTTCTATGCCTTGTTATTAAGAAGATGCTGCCCAACGACTGGTACTTGTAGTAGTTTTTTTTTAAGAATATTAACAATGCTATAAACATTAATAATATTCCCCTTAACCACTCGTGGTAAGCTTAAACTGCTTGTGTTACGAGTGGTTCACGCCAGTAGTCTAACGGCGGATACGAACTCACGACCTTTATGAGTTCGCGACCCGCGCCCTGCCATTAGGCTACTGTCGCTTTTATACCCTTCCGTCATATATAACGTATATATAACAGAAATAGAAATAGAAACTTTTTTATTCAATGTAGATTATAAAAATACTTATTGAAGTCACTTTTTTAATTTACCACTGGTTCGCAAAAAAAACCTCTGTCCTGGGAAGAACCAGCAAGAAACTCAGCGGGATTATTTTTTTTAATAATAGCTTACAATCATGTTTACAATCAACAACACAAGACAAATTTGAAATAGCTTGGTAGCAATAACCCTTCCCAGGGTTTATTATCATCCATAAATTCCTTAATATTATAATAACCCTTTTTATACAAACTTAGTTTAATAACATTTTTGAACTTTGTGTATGACAAATTTTGTATATTTTCTGGGATTTTGTTGTAAAAGCGTATACATCGCCCCAAGAATGAATTAATGACTCGGTGGAGTCGAGTAACTGGTACTACTAGCTTGTGTCTGCCTCCTAGTATTTACAGAATGAATATCACTTATTTTCGCAAAACTACTTTTATTTTTGTGTACGTACATTACATTTTCATAAATGTATTGAGAGGCCAGAGTTAATATATTAATTTGCTTAAATTTTTGTCTCAGTGACTCTTTTGGTTATATATTGCTCTAATGGCTCTCTTCTGTAAAATAAATATAATTTCAGTGTAAGTCGCGCGTCCCCATTTCAAAATACTATAACGACATAATGCTATGAAAATAACTCAAGTAAACTATTCTAGCTGTTTCAACACTGGTAAGAGTTCTAATCTTTTTTACAGCATATGCTGCAGAACTAAGTCTGCTAGCTAGTTTTAATATATGGGGAAGCCATTGAAGCTTTGCGTCCAGTGTGATTCCAAGAAAAATTGGTGGTATCAACAAGACTCAGTTCCTCCCCATTTAAAATTACATTAGTATTGACATGTTTAACATTAGGAGTTACGAATTTCATACATTTACTTTTAGTTCCATTCAAATGCAAATTATTAACATTAAACCAATTGACTAACTTAGCTATAGCATTATTTACTTCGTCGTAATTTAATAACTGTCGTTTTAATTTGAAAATTAATGAAGTATCATCAGCAAATAATACTATATCATGGTTATCCCCTACTATATAAGGTAAGTCATTAATATATACAAGAAACAGAAAGGGGCCGAGAATTGAGCCCTGAGGCACGCCCATTTGTACAATCGACCCGGAAGAACTCATACTATTAATAACAACTTTTTGTGTTCTGTCACTTAAATATGAAATAATCAAGAGCATCGTTTCTTACACCGTAGTGTTGAAGTTTCCTGATTAATGTTTCATGGTGAACACAATCGAAGGCTTTGGATAGGTCACAGAACACACCGAAAGCATCCTGTGAATTCTCCCATGCATTAAATATATATTTAGTCAGCTCAACACCAGTATCAGTTGTCGAGCGACCCCTTGTGAAACCAAATTGATTTTTATGAAGTAATTTATTTAACGTAAATAAGTAAGTAGTTGTACTTTCTGTCATATATAACGACACCCACGGGACGATATGCGGTAGTGGATATTTTTACACCGCCATCACACAGTAAATACGATATCTAGTGGAGGCTTTGTAATTTCTCTGATATTTTCCATAGACGCTTCCTAAGATACCCATTTGACAGACAGAAAGCGACCTACTTATTTGAGGCTCGTTCGTTTATAGTTCAGTGCAACGGGCAGTGGCACAAATGCACCAGTTTCCAGCTGCTAGAAAGAGAAGGAGCAACTCACGTGTATAGGGTTATCTTTGTCGGTACGTCGCACATAGTGCAGGTGTCCGAGCAGCGAATGCGGTGTGCACCATGGCATCAGGTAGCGGCACAGCAACTTAACGGTCGCCTTCAGACCGCAACGCGCGTTTACGTTGGTACGGCAGCGAAATAACTGCGGGTTCATCTCTACATACTCCCAGAACTCGTCCAATCCAAGGGCTATCAGCCTGTAGCCAATCGAGACATCTATAGTGTTATTCAGTAGGTCAGTATCTAGAGTATAAAAGTGAAACGCTATATACGAACGACTAAAAGAATGTAACTTAATAAAAAGTAAAAACCAACAATATTCACACTTTCACTGAACAGCAGCGTAAAATAGTAGCTTAATGCTGCTGTATATCGTATGGTGAGTGTAGAGAACCGGGAGACCCTTTTTACTAGAAACAAGGCATTCCCCATCTTGGTCCTCAGGAGCGTCAATACATTTTCATTTTGATTCTTAACAGAGAATAGATGTAAGTGTCTAGAGGCCATAGTATCCACTTACTATCAGGTGGACTGTATATTTGTTTGTCACCCTTAGTAGTTTTTACATTCCTCAGATATTGTCTTGTTACAAAAAGTAGTTTATAATTAGTATCAAGTTTTAACTCTTTTTTTAAGGCTCTTTTTACTTTTTAAAGAAGTCCCGTGCAAAATATGAGAACGAAAATTAGATTTGACAGCAAATTTTAAAGACTATGGCGCTGCATCTAAACTACTCAGTTTGTGACGAAGACTGCTTTAAATCCAGAGACTTAAGAGCGTCAATAAACTACGTTTTGTAATAAGACTGATAGCACTTATGTGACAGATAGCAAACAGTTGAATTCTTCAATCTTCAATAGGCTTTCTTTGACAAATAACTACTACCGGAGGTATTTATCTCTTTTACGACGAGATAACCAGCTACTAAACGGATAGTTTTATTCAATAACAGATGTCGTTAAACAAAACCTTTCGCTGTTAACTATATTTCTTGATTGTGCATTTATTACAAAGTTAGGTGTTATTGTTATGGACATTTTTGATAGAATTGTAAACCTGGGAATTGAAGGTGTGCTTATAAATTAAATTAATAAGACTACGTAAAGAAAAACAATTGTAACATCCGGGCCCGAACATTTTACTATGTGGTATTCGAAAACATCCAAACGTATTTCATCGTCTAGTCAGAGTTTTAAAAGAGTCGGTGCAATATTTATTTCACATGATAAGAAAAATTACATTTTTATTTAGATCCTTTACTTAGTGAAGATAATTGATAGAATCAGGCGGTGCAATATTTACTTCCCATGATAAGAGAAATTTCATTTTTATTTAGATCCTTTACTTAGTGAAGATAATTGATAGAATCAGGCGGTGCAATATTTACTTCCCATGATAAGAGAAATTTCATTTTTATTTAGATCCTTTACTTAGTGAAGATAATTGATAGAATCAGGCGGTGCAATATTTACTTCCCATGAGAAATTTCATTTTTATTTAGATCCTTTACTTAGTGAAGATAATTGATAGAATCAGGCGGTGCAATATTTACTTCCCATGATAAGAGAAATTTCATTTTTATTTAGATCCTTTACTTAGTGAAGATAATTGATAGAATCAGGCGTTACTTTGCGGAAATTCATTATAATAAAGATATTTTATTATAACTATTTAATTCGCAACCATCCGCTGAATAAAATCAAATGATGTGTCATACCTAGTTTGAAGAGCACCTCCTGCCCTCCCTCAATTGCGTGGACCAATCCCGTCACCACTAGTCTCAGCACCACTACTCCCAACACCACTACTCCCGGTACCGGTACGGTTACGGTACGGTTAAGAGTAGTAACTATCTGTCCACCTAATGTCGCACGTTTACTCGTGCTGTCCAAATATGCATGCAGTAGAGAAAGGAACACCTAAAGCGTTTTAAAATTTAACTTAGGAAATCCTCACCTTGATAAAAATTCCGAATATGATATAATGATAATGAGCGTACCGGTCAGTTATACGAGAGCCTCGGGCGAGAGTGGACGTGTTTTATTAAAGATACGATAGCAGACAAGGACTACAATACTCACGCGTCCTCGGAGCGCAGGAACTTAAAGCGGCGTACGACGTCCGCCCGGTATGGCATCGCGGGCAGCAGGTACGGATACAGGAACACGGGGCTGTTCGCGACCACGTCCTTCAGCGTATCGTGGAACTCGCCCACGTACAACGAGTTCTGCGCGCAGCGGCTTCGGCTGCGGAACCGATGTGTTTAGTGAGATGAGTCGACACATAAAAATATATCAATGATTATCAACACTACTACTACTATCAATTAAAACTACTTTTACGGATTTTATCGCGTATATTTAACTATAAATACCCGACGTTTCGAGCGCTTTACAGCACCCATGGTCACGGGGGACTGAGATGACTGACGTCCTGATATCATTGTTAAACCCGGAGTACATTCAGCTTTTTTAATTATTGTTTATGGTCCGATCTATGCAAAATGAACTGACTATGTCCTGAGGTCTTGCAGTGGTATGCTTGGGTTTAGTTTTAATTTTATTGATTAATGGATCCTAAGCAGGTGGTAGTACCCAGCCTCCTTCTCTATTGAAATTAGGATGTTTTTTAATTTCAATAGCCTCACGTATCATCCTTGGTAGGAACCGATTCCTACCTAGGAACTCTCTACTCCGGGAACTCTACTCCGGGTTTAACAATGACATCGGGACGTCAGTCATCTCAATCCCCCGTGACCATGGGTGCTGTAAAGCGCCCGAAACGTCGGGAATTAAAGATAAAAGTAATTAAAAGTAAAATAAACGCGATAAAATCCGTAAAAGTAATTTTAATCGATGTGTAGTGTTCGCGTAAATATAATAAATCACTACTACTACTACTACCACTGTGGCGGCGCTGTCGTCACGCCACAATCGAAATACACCGAAGCCTAAATCACGCTATCAACATTCCGAATCATAAACACTACAGCATACCACAAATGCACTGCAAAACACAGATCGCTATCCATAGATTGCTACAAAGTAGGGTCACAATCTAAGAAGAACATACAGTCAGTCATCGCGTTTGACATGAAGGTTAGAGAACAGGAGAAAATAGATCGGCGTAAAAAATTGTATCCCAGAAATATGGACACCAAAAGTGAGGCGCTGCGATCGCTAAGTTCGGTCAATAAAAGTCATTTTCAGTTTATTTTTCCGATCAGATGCTAAACCACTTGCACATCCACGCAAAATAAAATATTTCTCCATTTTTTAATGTTTCTTTTTGTCAAAAATTTCAAAATTACGGAGCATGAAAATTTTCTCACCAATGCCGCGGAGAAAATTTGTACATTATTCAACTAACTTCATCTACTTGTACTCATAAACAGCTAACTTCGCAGTCACTACTCACCGACGTCAGCGCCGCTATAAATTCTACTAATTTTCAAGGACAGGCGGGCTATGCTTTAGTACCTAGTGATCGTTCTCCTGTTCTCTAACCTTCATGGCGTTTGATGTTGTCGAAAAAGCCGACATAAACAATAAATTGCTAGGGTTGACAGAACTGGAAGTAATAAGAAAATGCAATTACAAATATTCCTGTGTTTGTGGAAACTGATAAAACTTGAATTCCTTATATTTAAATAAGGACGACCCACAGGTTTTTACCGCACATGTATGGTTCATAAAAGATAGCTTGATCTCTGCGACAGCTATCAGTAAAAATCACGCCTATGAAGTCCTGAATTGCTTAGTAGTACAGACAGTATGTCAATGTCATACTTAGGAAGCAATAGTAGCCCATAAGTATGACATTGACAGGTACTGTACAGACAATACCTGTCAATGTCATACTTTACTTTAGTAGTACAGACTACTAAGAAATTCAGAACTTCATAGGCGTGATTTTACTGACAGCTGTCGCAGAGATCAAACTATCTTTTATGAACTATAGTGTGAACTATTTTAATTTATTTGCGGGACAGGACAACCTCTTGTCTCGCCTCGCGTCTAGACGGGCCGATTGTCCCGTCTAGACGCCTTCGATGACCGATTATTAGTAGTAGTTAATCTGTGGTATGTGTTCTGAGCCACCCGCTTCCATCGACTACCTGCATTTTTTAACTAGTTGTCATTCCATACAGTGGGGGGGAGCTCAACGCTGCGCTTGCCAGTACGAGGCTGCTACTCAACAACGTATCTTTCCTGTTGTCAGTATTTCGAGCTATATGACCGGGCCCATATAGCAAATATACAATATTCTTTTCATTTTTTATAATTTAAAAGAATATTGAGAATAATGTAATTTTAGGTTAATTAAGTACATATTATTTAAAATTTGCACGTCAGACTCTATACAGAATACTAGGCGCTAATATAATTGCAACACCATCTCATGCCAAATTGTATAGTTGCAAATAAATTTATTCTATTCTATTATTTTACCCATTGCCACTTCAGCTCACTGATACCTTGTGCTATATAAACTATAGATCTTTTATTTTTACTTAATGTAAAATCATTCTTTAAAAAAAGTACTTTGGATAATAATAACTTTTCATCTTTTATATATTATTAGATTTTTGATTTCTACTTTAATTTCATACTATTATTAGGATATTTGCTTGTTACGCCGAATGTCCGATAATGGAATCGAAGTCGTATATATGTTACATGTAAAATTGAATTCTTACCTTCTTTCAATTTGTTCTTGAATAAACCTGAAAAAATACAAAAATTTGTAAGAATTTACATGTTTAAACTAAACGTCCTGTCTATGCATTACATAAAAGAGGACATCCAAATTGACTGACTCATCCAGCAACGCACCGTCCAAACCACTAGACACAGATATACCTAAATAAATAGCAATTTGGACGTAAATTGAAATGTAAGCATACGCTAAGAAATGATTTTGGAAAATTCTAACAGTTTGTATGAAACTTTTTATTTTACGAGTCGATTGACTTTTAATCTTACTAAAGGTACTCTGTAAATAAAATAAATTAATTCGGATTTAGCTATTTATCAAAACTATATACAGTGGGGCCAGAGGGTGTTCAAATTTGTATGAAAAATAATTAATTGATAATTTTATTTTTACTTGAAAACTGGTGAAAATATTCCTGAATAAAAAATATCCTATAGTTTTTAAAACGGGAATGAAGTTTGTATGAAAAATATTGTATTAAGACGATTGGCCAAACCGCTGGATTTAGAAGCGCGAAATTGGGACAATAAATTCTTTTAATCACCTTAAACATAGACTTATATATTACTAGCGTAAGGACCGGGCCGACCGAACAACTAAAACGGACCAATGCGTTAGCCCTAAAATTACAGTTTAGGGCCAACGCAAATCGGTCGACAGTAGTGCGCGCGCAGGACAGATTTGCCTGTCACAAACATGTCTAGTTGGGTGATGCAAAAATTACGATACAAAGATAAAGAAAAACATGGGATATCGTATCATCGGTAAATAACCTTATATAAATTTTGTTACAATTAAATTATTATATAAACGCATTTTTAAAGTTTTATTATACAGTTAGTTTAGTTACGTTACCAATATTAGGCCAGGGTTGGATTCAGACCCTCAAAATATTGTACATGGAAAATAAAATTATACTATTTAAAAAAATTATATCACGTTTGACGTTTCATGTTTCTTTTTTCCCATGTGCCGGGATTTTGGCGCCACGCGTCTAGTTTATCTAGACGTTTCGTTTTTTGACGGTTTTATTTTTATTTCCGTTTAATTTTTGTCTGAACAACTTAGTGTAAGTTAAATTTTGAATATTGGTACCTAATATATTTTATATTCAATAAGGGTAAACGAAAAGAGTACAAAAGAAAAGGATCGATCGAGCATCAATTGACCAGAAAGGGAGCTAATTCTAATTTTATTAAAAAAACGAGGTACTCATGTACAATACAGAAATTCTCGATATCGTAGGGTTAATATTAAAATGTAAAAGGACCCAATAATAACACAAGTCGACCTTTAGGTAATATTATGGTATTTTCGCTTAGTATTATTACGATACTATGTACTACAAACTATGAAATAATGTAATAAAAAAATAATGTACAATTAGGATAATTATACTACGAAATCCGACCCTGGTTACGTCGTGTTTTGATATGACGTTTGTATTATGATGCGCTACTTTTTCTTGTATGAAAAAGTTATGAGTAAAATATTTAGATAGGCCTATCCTTCCTTTTGAAATCATTGCCTTTAAAACCACTAAGAAAGGATTGATTGTACTAAATTTTGAAATTTTTTATTTGTATGGAGAAAAATTATAAAATAGTATTTACAACTTAAATATTGGTAAAAATATTTTGAACTAGCTTTTACCCGTGATTTCCTCCGCTTAGAGTTTAAACAAAAAACCTGCAGATCTAGAATAGCAGTCTATGGGCAAGTAGTTCCATTATAAAAAAGAACACTTTGATCTCAGTTCTATGCTATTATTTCAAAACTATGTGCATAGTTACACAGTTTTAAGTAAACTGGTAAAATGTTATGAAAATAATGTAAAATGTTAAAATCATTGAAATAATACTAGTTTTTACGGAATTTATAGCGTATATTTAACTTTTTAAATACCCGACGTTTCGAACGCTTTACAGCATCCGTGGTCACGGGCGGGACTGAGATGTTCAACGTCCAGATGTCATAGTTAACCGCGGTTACCATAGATTAAAATTTAACTTTTGTTCCGATCTACACAGTATGAACTTATGGTATCTTGAAGTCTTGCAGTTGTATGCTTGGGTTGGGATTTAATTTTATATATTATAGGATCCCAAGCAGATGGTAGCACGCAGCCACCTTTTCTATTGAAATTAGGATGCTTTTTGATTTCAATAGCCTCGCAAATCATCCTTGGAAGGAATCGATGTTCTTTAGCGAGGATTTGTGGTCTATCAAATCTGATGTAGTGACGGGGGCGATCCTGTACGTGTTCACAGACTGCAGACTTCCCGGAGCGTCGATTCTTAATGTAGATATACATATATATGTACATATAAATATAGTAGATCTGAAGAAAAGTTAAATTTTAATCAATGGTAACCGCGGTTAACTATGACATCTGGACGTTGAACATCTCAGTCTGCCCGTGACCATGAGTGCTGTACAGCGTTCGGAACGTCGGGTATTTTAAAATTTAATATACGCGATAAATTCCGTAAAAACTAGCATTATGTTCAATGTGTAGTGTTCGCGCAAATGTATAATAAGATCATTATTGTTAAAATCAAATTTTGCATATAATTTTTAACTGGGAGGGAGATAATGATGAAATAAAGTGTTATTCGCAGTTTAGGAATTCGCACACAATACTTTCGTGCCTATTTTTTTAATATCTCGTTGTAATTTATGATATATTATTATTATTATTATTATCAAAAACCGTTTATATAGTTTTTGATAGTATTCGGGAGTTTTCAGTGTAGTAGATATTGGTTATGAGAATACTTGTTGTTTTGCAATTGTTCATTTTGCAATCTTATGTTTAGCTCACTAAACTGTTCAAGACTGGATATAAGTTTGTCCAAAGCTGGGATTCACATGATTAATAACAAACAACCCCAACTTACTTGACCATTGCAGTGTTCTGAGGCGTTGTTTCGGCGACGGTCTTCTCCCATGAAGCTATCAGCTCTATTGCTGGTTTTAAGTTACACACATTGGCTACTGAATCAGGATTTTTAGTCACCAATTTATTAAAAGTTTCCTGTAAAACAATTAATTACTATTAATCGAGTGAAGCAATAAATGACAATTTTTTTAATATCTAACATAACGGAGCATTTGCTATAATTGTCACGCTAGGTAGGCAGGTTGGCAATTACAGATTTTTTTATTAATTTGAGTTGTTATCAGGGAAATGCTGCTGCCCATCTCCTGTTTTCATTTCCCTCTGTCGTCTCTTATAACACCAACTGGATAAGTCAATGTCAAAACTCATCGGGGCAGTGCAATGCATTTCTTTTTAATTTAAAATCTTACCACGTTTTTTATCATGTACTTGCATTGTCATCCGAATTTAAGCTATAGACGACGTTGACGTGGTAGAGCCATGCTGCAGTTATGTTAGTAGTATAGTTGTAGCATGAATGGGTCAGCTCGATCGGGGAAGGACCACACTCTCAAAGAAGACCAATGTGAAATAGCAGCTCAACGCTGCTGTGTTACGTATGGTGAGTGTAGAGAACCGGAGACCCTTTTTACTGGAATTGAGGCATTTCATCTTAGTCCTCACGGGTGACAACACATCTGCATTTTGATTCGTAATCGAGGATAGATGTATATGTCTATGGGCCACAGTAACCACTTACCATCAGGTGGACTGTGTGCTCGTTAGTCACCTTTGTACAATAAAAAAAAATATTCAAAATTTAAGTTTCCAACTTATCGGGAAGTTAGTTTAAAATCAATTACTAAACTCCACCTGGAACGGCAGACAAACAAGAAAGTGACTTTATTTATAGAATAAGCATCACAAACGAGCACCAGTCCACCTGATGGTAAGTGAATGCTGTGACCCATAGACATCCACATTAATCTTCAATTAAGAATCAAAATGCAGATGTGTTGCCAGCCCTGAGGACTGAGATGGAATGCTTGTTTCTAGTAAAAAGGGTCTCCGGTTTACACTCACCATACGAAACACAGCAGCACTAAGCCGCTATTTTACGCTGGTATTCTGAGAGAGCGTGGTCCTTCCCCGGTTGAGCCGACCCATTCGTGCAACATACAGCTGCAGCGTGGCTCTACCACGTAAGAAAGACAATAAAAACATGGTAATAAATTATGATTAATGCTAGGATACACATGAAACACAAAATATACAAACTTACCAAATATTCTTTATATTGTGGGCCATAAGACCAATGCACCGGATGAACAAACACCTGTAGAAAGTTCGAAGCTGACAGCTGAATGTGTTGCCTCAGTTGTTGTTGCAATATAAGGATCTGTTCTGGTAAAATCTAGAAATAAACAAGTGCTAAAATTAAAATTTTTGTACAAACGATTTTCATTCAATAAAATCACAACATCAATGTATTCGAAGTCAAGGAATCAAAATGCAGATGCGTTGCCAGCCCTGAGGACTGGTATATAAAGCCCCGATTCCACTAAAAAGGTTCTCCGGCTCTCTACACTCACCATAGGAAACACAGCAGTATTAGGCTGCTATTTTACGCTGGTATTCTGCGAAAGCGTGGTCCTTCCCCGGTCGAGCCTTAAATACGCATTATTAAGGATAACTCAAAAACTACTGGTCAGATCTTGATGAAATTTATAAGGGACCACACGAGAAGCAACAGCTTTCAAAAAAAAAAAAGTCATCAAAATCGGTTCACCTAGAAAAAGCTCTGAGGTAACACACATAAAAAAAACATTCATTCGAATTGAGTACCTTCTACTTTTTTGAATTGGGTTAAAAAACAAAGATACTAAGCATGTCCATCAAAGTTTTTGATACTTGTATTTCACTTGTCCTCACATATGGCTGCCAGTCCTGGGTCCTCACCAAAACCCATATTAGGAAACTAAAAAATTGTTAAAACGTCATGGAGAAGCATGAAGGGAAAAAGATTATTGGACTGAGTAACTGACTAATGTACTGGTACACAAGTTACACGAAGACGAAGAGGTAGATCATTCAGGAAATGGGTTGATAACATCAAAGCATTAGCCGGTAACATATGGACCAGAACAGCTGGTAATAGAGAGTTGTGTACACAATTGGAGAATGTGTTTGGCAAAGAAAGGCAAACAGACAGAATTATAGAGACAATTGGAAACAGAAGTTAAATGGAAAAAAAAGAAGTCAGTTAAACCCATATTTATTTGCTGTAACTTTAACCTGTTAATCTTTTTTGTATCAATGTCTGAATGAAGGGCTATTATTATATCCATACTGCCAAATTTTCAAGCATTAGTCGATAGTACATCTAGCCATGCTATTCTTTGTTTAAACTTCCATTTGTATGTCACTGTCCCACCATAACATATGTAAGTTATAGTGACATACAAATGAATTACTTACATTACATTACTTCTGTATGTATGTTTATCAGTTTAATTTTATTAAAGAAATGTTGTTTCCTTCATCCTCCTTATCTCAGTACTCCATCAATATAGGAACATAGTTGATGTTAAATTTTTGTACTGTAGTTAGTGGTGTTGAAAGAATGTAATCTTGACACGTTACTGCGAAAAAAAAAAAAAAAAAAAATTACCTTAATATAGGGAGGTGAAAAAATTTTTTTTTATTAAACATCAAAGACAAACATCACCATTTTAATTCAGCGTTAAAATCTTTGCAAATTATTTCATTAAAAAATTAAATGTGCGATACTAACGCAGGGAGCATTACTGTCGAGCTGCACGACTACGGGAGTATGTTCCTGCTGAAGTTCCACTTGGCAAGTTTGCAAAACTTGAGGTGGCTGTGGTGGTTCCTCCGGCTGAGCTATCCTAGTTTCTTCTTCCACGTACACCGTGCCAGTTTTCCTGGACAGAAATGTTATAAAAATCACATGATCGGCATCGTGGTCACAGACGTCTCGCACCTTTGACGCTGCTTCTCATCACCGGTCTGGGAATGCCTGGTATAAATGCGAGAGGGTTATACTGCTTCTGACGGACAAGACAGACGAGTAAGTTGCAGTATTTATTATGTTTAAGATAACAAGTAAATCCCAGATTTAAGAGTATGTAAGATGTGAAGAAAATGTTTGAGCAATCATAAAAAAGGCTTTTTTAGGTAACATTATATAAAATCTACAAATATAAATATTTTTTTTTTAAATTAAAATGTTACCTACCTACACTAGGATTTTCTCCTGTACCGTTGGGGCAGTTTACATTCATAAATTTCACAAATACAAACATCCAGACCCGGAACAATTATTTGTAGGCCATACAAATAATTGTTCCGTGCGGAATTCGAATCCGCGGCCCTCAGCTCCGCAACTCATTGCTAAGCCAATACACCACGGAGCCATCATTCATTACAATCTATGGATTGCTCCCCATAAATTTCCTCTTAAGAGGGATATTTGTCACACTTGGCAAGTCGGTTGCCGTACGCAGTCTATTATCTAGTTGGTACAAGGAAGACGTTGCTGCTCATCTACTGATTTGTTTCCCTCTGACGCCTCAGGATACCCACGGGACGATATGGATATTCTTACACCACCACTATATGGTATACGACAGTAAATTAAATATTACACTTAAATTGTCGTCTAAGACACTCCGTAAATGAAGAACAATGTCTATTCACATTCCAAAATCCGCTACGTCAATGAGTTGTGACTAGAAGTTACTTCAAAATTTTCTCTACTTTTCTATCCATTAACATTCTTTAGTAAAATTCATAAAGTTTATTTGCGTTTTAAGTATGAAGACATATCTTACCTTCAAGAAAAGAGCTTACTCCTTTCTAAAAGGCCGGCAACGAACCTGCAATTCCCCTGGTGTTGCGGTTGATCATGGGCGGCGGTAGTCACTTAACATCAGGTGAGCCGCATGCTCGTTTACCCCTCTTTTATATAAAAAGAAAATCTTGCTATCGTTTAAAGCTTAGATGGCTAACTATACATCAAAGGCGATGCTCCAGATTTTTACTTGTACTTTATTCAATTTTAAGCTATCCAAGATCTTCTTATCTTAAGAATAACTATCATTTTCTTCATCCAATCTACTTGATCGTCTCAGGATTAGTATTTCACAGCACAGGTCTTCAGGTCCTCTTTTACACTTTCCAATGATATTAAGAATGCAACCAATAAAAACTTTAAAATAAAAACCTAGGACTTACCCATAAAACCGCCTTTTAATTGCTTAATCTACTAGAATCTCTAAGCCGTATCCCTCTTCAAAAAGGCGACTACGACAAAATTACCTAAGGGCAATTACCAACCTTTTTTTAATTCAAGGATATGATTTTTTTTAATTCAAGGATAAAACTATGCACGTTGTCATGTGTGTATGTAGTGTAAGTATAGCTTGTATCAAAATAATTATTACATTTTGTAATGATCCTGCCAGGCTAGCATGGGCAGGAGACAAAAATTTTATCTCCCGATTGTATCCACTGACAAGAGATAAAATTGTCTTATTCCTATGCCAGTTTTATCCACCCTGCGTGCATGGGCCTATAGTGGATATAATATACACAGTAGATAAATTTATCCTCGCGCGTACGAGGATCATAGGAGTAATAGTGTTCTGTGACAAGAAAGCAAAGCGGAACGCCACGAAACTGTGAAGCTCTCGCAGTTAAAAATCGAAAAGTGGTAAAAAGTTACTGATTTCAGTGTTCTTAGTGTCAAATATCGCGTATTAACGATACGCATCTAGTGGTGTAATTTTTTTAGCCGTAAAACAGTTGTTAGTGATTTTTCAAGTGAAAAACCGTTTTTCCTCATATTAGCAAAACACAAAACCGCGTGCGGCGCTCGATTAGTCGTCACAACCTGCTATTTTTTTTAGTGATTTTGTGCGCCACCTGAGGACTCATCATCCTCCAAAAATTTGGAATTTTTGGATGAAGGACACCTGAGATATTAGAGGAAAACCGAAATCCACGGGGTAGGTGATTTCGCGAATCAGGAGTCTGCGGCTGGAATTGAAGGTGTCGCTCGCGGCGTCTCGGAAAGCTCTTTCCAAAAATATCTGAATCATCAGCCGGAAATGTATACCCCCGGCATGACCACACTTTTGCTGCTGGTGTCCCACATCTTGTAAGCTTGGACTCTAATAACTTTTATTTTTGAATGACTATTTTTGTATATAAAGGACATTTGTCAAACAACCCTATCTTGCCCCCTCCCCCAAAAAAAAAAAAAATTACCAAAAGAATTTTTTTGTATATAGAGGACAAACTCATGCTCTTACTGTGAGTGAAATTTCAAATTTTTTTGAAAAGCAGTTTTTTTAACAGTGATTTTTTTTTGTAAAAAGACATATGGTCTTTTCGCCATTCCGTGATAAGTTTGTTTTGCGTATAGTGGCTAGATAAACCATAAGCGCGAGCTCAAAAAAAATTTAATTGTCGTTCACTTTGATAGTTAGGAATACATTGATTTACATCCATTTTACATTTTTTCTTCTTCTCTTAACTTTATTTCATGCCCAACCACCTGTTTTATTCTATATTTGTTATAACATCTCACGTTTGATAACTTTACATATTAGATTAGTATAGCTATAGGGTCCACTTTTTTATTATCCTATTTTAATTTTGCATTTAATATTACTTCTTTCCAAGTTACAATTTTTACTTGTCAACGTTTAATTTAGTTGTAATATCCATTTTATATTTTTAATTAATTTTAGAAGACTTTATATAGCTGATAAGTTCTTTTATTTATATACTTAACTTGTTTTCTCTGCCTTTTAATATTATTAACATAAATGTTTAAATTATTATTTCATGCCTTTCCTTTAATAATATACAATACAATAAATGTTACAATATCTTATTGTGACGACTAGAGACTACTGTAAATAATTAATGTAATAGTGTCATAGTAAAATAGTAAAATTGTAAAAATTTATATAGACAGTGTGCTAACTATAGAAATGTTATATTAATTACCTACTTATGTTTTTATTTATATTTTAATTTGTTTTATTTTGTTTCGTTTTAAGATTAAGTTGATTTACATTCGCTTATATTTTCTTTTACCTTTTGTTTATTATATAGCTAAACTGTTAATCATTTTTGTTAAACAATATGTCATTTATAATAATTCTTGTCTTGTTTTTATTTTTTCTATTATTCTATTTCTTTCTTTATTTTCTTTTGTATAATATTTAAGTGTGTATGTATACACTGCCTGTATCAAATCGCGGGCAATCTGTATTACTTCGCTTGTGATTGCATTTGTTAAAAAATAGGTACGTGTCTAGGAATAAGTCAAATTGTGATACTGGACAATACAGACCCTTTGGAGATGGTGTAACCTCTGGAGGAAATAAAAAAATGAACTTATCCCCGCAATTACTGCCATTATAAGAAAATTACAAAATACATCAAAATTGATGTCTACTCGAAGTCACAAAGATTTAATTTTAATTGAAAATGATGAAACATGAAGAATGAAAATTTAATAATTTCAAACAAAATAAGGAATCAATAATTTTATGATCATGAGTCTTGTGTTATTTGTATTCCTAATATTATGTATGTTAGCCTTTAAAATATTTAACAAGCTTTGCTAAAGAATTAACATATATTTTCTTAATTTAAAACTTTGATTTTTAACTTTACTAAGTTTTTTAAAGAACTTTTTTTAAAACATTATACCTAAAATATAGTATAGATTAATTTTATTTCTATTATTATTAAATATGACTTGGTCATAGATTCGCCTTGGATATTGTTGACACAAACTATGTAATTAAATCATGGCGTTGAGCTATTGACTCAATAGCGCAATGGTTAAGGTATGACTACAATCGGAAAGGTTGTAAAATCTTTGACCGGGACGACAATAGTCTCATGGGACCACGTGTAAGACGATTGTGGCACATAAGCATTACGGTTATATCTGAGGGAAATTCTTTATTTAGAAAAAACTTGATTATTAAGTTTTAGGTTTTTTTTAAAACTCTATAACTTGTTTGCTATTACCAGTTGAACAATTATTGTAGACCGTCCTTTTCTTGTACTAAACCCCAGTCTGGAATGGTAGGTGAAATAACTATATCAACATAGTCAGTCAATAGTCCTAAGTATATCTGGCAGACCATGTTTTGCTAGGTATCCTCTAGCTACTTGTTATACGCCCGGAAATCATATTCACTTCAGTATTAGTCAAAAATAAAATGAAGTAGATGCACTGAATCTTATATTTACCTACACAAGAGGCTAATTAAAGTATATTGCTCCCCACATTCTAATGATGGCCCCAACAACTTGGGTCAAGTATTTGCTGATCATTTGTTGTTTGAACAACAGCCATGCCATTCGGTCTTGACTCGTACCTCTCTGGTAACTACCATCTGCCAAGAAACTGAAAGCTGTAAAGTACCTACCTAGAAAAAATACGAGGGTGGATTGAAAAGTACTCGGCCTAACACCACACAGATCCATTCAATTCTAAAAATCAAATCTACCCACATTATTTAGTTCAGTTCAGACTAGTTCATTGTGTGAAGTTCGAAACGTGTGTGATAATTAGTTGTGATTTTATAAATTTATTAACAAAGTAATCGAACATAATTTCCGCGAATGGAGCAAATCGAGCAGCGTGCCGTCATTAAGTACCTCCATAAGAAGGGGCTATCATCAAAAGCCATCCATAATGACATGGTCAGTACATTAGGCGATTGTGCTCTGTCATATTCATCCGTCAAAAATTGGATAGCAGAATTTAAGCGTGGTAGAGAGAGTGTGAAAGATGAACCCCGCTCTGGAAGGCCTTCGACGTCAACTACTGACGAAAATATTAAAAAATGTACTTGATTTAATAATGGGAGACCGCAGATTAAAAATTAGAGAGATAGCCGAGATTATAGGCATCTCTTATGAACGAACTCAAAACATCATTGTCAACGAGTTGGGTTTCCACAAGGTGTCTGCGAGGTGGGTTCCGCGACTGCTTTCAGTTGAACAAAAAAGGACGCGATTGACTATTTCACGCGACTGTTTGGAGTTATTTGAAGCCGATGCAGATGATTTTTTGAATCGTTTTGTTACTATGGACGAAACATGGGTTCATTACTGTACAGCGGAAACAAAAAAACAATCAAAACAGTGGAGAAGACCTGGTTCACCACCCCTAAAAAGGCTAAGTCGATTTTGTCGGCAAATAAGGTGATGGCTTCAGTATTCTGGGACTCGAAAGGTGTGATTATGATTGATTATCTTGAAAGGGGTCAGACTATAAACTCTGATTACTACTGCACCTTACTACGTCGTTTACGAGAGGAAATAAAAGAAAAACGTCGAGGAATGCTCAGAAGAAAAGTCCTGTTTCATCAAGATAACGCCCGTGTTCACACGTCAGTACAGTCAATGGCTGAAATTCACAACTGTGGCTTTGAACTGTTACCGCATCCGCCGTATTCACCTGATCTGGCACCATCAGACTTCTTTTTGTTCCCTAACCTAAAAAAGCACTTGGGAGGTCAAAGATTTTCGACAAACAACGAGGTCAAAGCAGCTGTAGACGCATATTTTGACTCTAAGGAAGAATCATTTTTTTCAACGGTCTAAACGCTTGGAAGGGGAGGTGGCAATAGTATATTGAACTTGATGGTGATTATGTAGAAAAATAAAAATATAACTGATTTAGTATGTGTTTATTTTCTTGGTTAGGCCGAGTACTTTTCAATCCACCCTCGTACTAAGATAAGTTAGCCACATGAATTGATTGCAAATATACGATATTTTTGCACAAGGTATTTGTAATAGATGCTTACTTTAATATGCACTGGTAGTCCATCCGCAGAATTAATAGGCTTTAAAGCCTCATAGACTTCTTTACACACATACAAAACACAATCTTTGAGCATTCGAAACTGGCGTAGAAATTCGTTGTCGGGGAATTCCATTAGATTAAGTACTCTAATCACGTATCGATCGCCGATGTAATTTTCTTTCTTGTTTTTCAATTTCTGATACGAAAATGTAGTTGCAGTAGGCTCGAGACATCTTTTTTGTATTAAAATAGTTTGGGTTCAATTCAATTTCAATCTAAGGTACCTTAAACCCACGTCCATGAACGAGGAAAAAATTGTCCCTTTCAAATATCAAAAAAGGATAATTTTTTCTCTTTCATTTGGCCCCACGCTACGTACGGGGAGATATATGTCTACTCGTTATTTAAAACGGGGGTATACTATAGGGATAAGATAACTTTATCTCTTGTCAGTGGATATAATCGGAGGATATAATTTTTGTCTCCTGCCCATGCTCGCAGGGTGGATAAAACTGAGCAAGGGATAAAAATTTATCCTCTCCCATGGATATATTGTCTCCTGCCCATGCTAGCTCGGCTGGTGATGTTTAATTTTTAACCGACTACAAAAAGGAGGAGGTACTAAATTGGACTGTATGTTTTTTTATGTGTTAAGACAAATAGAAAAAACCTTGGCTCAGAACTTGTTTCTAGGTAAACAGATTTTGTTGATTCATTTTTATTTGAAAGTTGGTGCTTCTTGTGTGGTCTCATTTAATTTGAACAAGATCTTTACAATAGTCTTTGAGTTATCCTTAATAAATCGTATTTAATTTACATCAAATACATTGATTATGTTCTCATTTTTTTTATATTGAAGTTATTTGAACAAAACTTTTAATTTTACCACTTGTTTTTTGTAAGCAAATTAACACGTCTTTGAACGGCCAATTCTACTAAACGCACCAAAATAATCATGACACTTTTGAAGTTAAAACTTCTTTAGAACCGTTGTGATTTGAAACTCGATGAAAGGAAATAGCAAAACTAAAAAGAGACAAACAGAGAATGAGATAAAATACATATTCCTATTTGCTCTGTCTCCTTTTCTCAAGGTTTTACTTCTACCATGTGTGAACTGTACACATTTTTTTAATACTGTGCATATGGCTACTGTGCATAGTATCATATTATCCTTGAATCAGCTACATTAATAATTGCTTAGTTTGCTACCTGCATTTTTGATTTTGATTTGACACATATTTTACTCACCGATTTTAACACATTGAGAGCGATCACTAAAGTAATCGGTAAAATGTTATAGTTCCCCTTATGCCAAATGTTACAAGCTTGTGCAATAGAGATAGATAAAGAGATAGTATCAAATGATTTGGCAAGGTCTAAAAAGAACCCAAATGAGTGCATACCATTGTCAAAATTACTTGTGACATAATATGTCAATGTATGTAATAAGAGAAGAGTGTGGTTTGCAAGATGATGTTGTGACCAGGATTAAGAAAGGAATGCTTCGGTGGTTTGGTCATGTGGAAAGAATGAATGAGGAAAGAGTGACAAAGAAAATTTATGTTGCAGAAGTGAATGGCAGAGTCGGAAAGGGACGTCCTAGGCGAAAATTTATCGACCAAATTGGCGATTTATTAAAAACGGGCCAAATTAGGAGTATCCTTAACCGATGAGCATGTATGCGTAGGTGTATGGATGTGAAGGAGGCGAGAGAGGTGTGTCATGATCGTGCCAAATGGAAGTCTGTAGTCTCTGCCTACCCCTTTGGGTGACAAGCGTGAGTGTTTATGTATGTATATGTATAATATGTCAATTGGTGCAAGGCATCATTACATGAACCTACCAAATGCACCAACGTCATCAGTCATCAGGCAGTCCGGCTCCATCCCATTCACATCAGTAATCTACATGCTAAATCAGCCATCCTAAAGAAAGTTTAGTCAATCCATTGTCGCTTCTTATACTAAGAATAGCTAAAACATTTTTGTAAATATAGACTTACTTAATTGTATTTGTTGTTCTAGTTGCTGGTGTTGTTGTTGGTATTGTTGTAGTTACTGGTGTTGTTGTTGATTGTATTGTTGTTGTATTAGTTGTTGTTGTTTTGCTTTCATCTTGTCCTGGTTCTTTGCGATTTTCTTCTTCAGTATTTGTTTGGTCATCTGACGGTTCGCTTTTTCCTACTGATAAATAAGTAATGCTTTTTCTTCTCTCCACTGTAGTAGTTTCTTCAATAATTAACATTTCTTCATCTGACAATGGCTCTTTTTTTCCTTTCCAAATATTATTCTGTAGGCAATTGTGATAAAGTATATGTATACATACTTTTGTTTACACGTACTGATAGTTATATCTAGTAGTAAAAAAAAAAGTTACAGCCTATATACGTCCCACTGCTGGGCTCAGGCCTCCCCTCATTTCTGAGAGGGTTTAGAGCAAGGAAGTGTCCGCCGCGCTGCCCAAATGCGTGTTGACGAACTTCACATGTCTTCGAAATATTTTTATTTTCTTATTCCTCAGACATGCAGGTTTCCTCACGATGTTTTCCTTCACCGCCGAGCACGTGGCAAATCAGCACTTAAAATTGCAATTAACAATTTCATTGGTGCCGGCGGGGATCGAACCCGGGTTACTCGCGTTCTGTTATATTTACAGCGAGCGTTAACCACTGAGCTACCACGGCTCAAGTTATATGTAGTACATAACTACAATTGTGATAAAGTATATGTATACATACTTTTATTTACACGTACTGATAGTTATATGTAGTATATAACTACAATTGTGATAAAGTATATGTATACATACTTTTATTTACACATACTGATAGTTATATGTAGTACATAACTACAATTATGATAAATTATATGTATACATACTTTTATTTACACATACTGATAGTTATATGTAGTACATAACTACAATTGTGATAAAGTATATGTATACATACTTTTATTTACACATACTGATAGTTATATGGAGTACATAACTACAATTGTGATAAATTATATGTATACATACTTTTATTTACACATACTGATAGTTATATGTAGTACATAACTACAATTACGAAAAACATACTTGTGTAATATAATAACACATCAAACTTAATGCTAGTTTATATGGAAATATACATTGTAAATTAGAGACTTTGTCACTTAATGTCAGCTGTTAATAAATGCTTCTAATCCCATAAGGTCACCAAAAACGTGTGAATTCAACATATTTTAAAATCTACATGGTAGCAAAATTATGTGCTTTTCTTATCCATGACAAAATGGGACAGAAAAAAATAGTGTTGTAAGTTATATTGAAATTACTATGAAGTTGTCGGTAGTAAAATTTTGTAATCATATTGAAAGTAACGTAGATATATTGAGTTACCATGTAGTAGGCGTGTAAGAATATTCACTACCCTATATCATCCCGTGGCTGTCGTAAAAGGCGACAGAGGAAAACAAATCAGGTGATGGGCAGCATCGACTAAAACTAAAATACTGTGGTTGCCAACCTGCCTACCAGCGTGGCAACTATGGCAAATATCTCTCCTATGAAGCAATCTAAGATACCCATGTTCAGCAGTGGACTTTAATAAGCTGTAACGATAACAGTATTGAAAGTAAATTGGGCTACGTCTCATTTCAAACCTAATAATCATAATTTTAGCTTGATAACTATGAAAATCTAGAAAATAATAATTGTGGATCAGACAACTAGCAGAATACAGCAAATACAAAATTCCTGTAGTATTTTCTAACCATGTAATGGCAGTATAAGAATATCCAATACCCCATATCGACAGAGGGAAATTAAAACAAAAGATGGGAAGCAGCGTCTCCTTAATAATAAAATATTATAAAAACTGCGGTTGCCAACCCACCTCCCAAGCGTGTCAACTATGGCAAATCATCCTTGTGAGATAAAATATGTGCCTGTGTTCAGCAGTGGACTTTTATAGGCTTTAATAGGTTAATTGGATTGATAGTATTTTCGAGGGGCATGGTATCATCTCTTCCTCATCAGCATCATTACAGCCCCTCACATGTCCTCTGCTGTACATCGACCTCCTCTAAGTATTACCGCAAAACCTGATTCTGAGTCATCTACATCTATTGACTTTCCACAAGACTTACCAGTTTATTACTTCATCTACTTGGAGAAGCTGCCCTACGCTCGTCATATTAGCATGAGGCTGTTACTCAAGAACCTTTATTACCCGTCAGTTATTCGTTTTTCGAGCTCTATAGCAAGCACATTATCATATCAACTCACTGGTCTGTGGGTTACTGTGGATATCTATCTCCATAGCTTGCTGAGCGACATTAGGCTCCCATACAATGCAGGCCATATGGGCAAGCAGTTATTATTAATTGATAAATGTTGCTTACATACCTCTATATCATTATTCTCGGTGAAAACGTCATTTGTAAGATTCTCAGCAAGTTCATCCTGTGTCGTCACTTCCGGCATAATGCTGAACAGTTCTGTTACTAAGTCACTGAGTTCTTTCTTTGATATTTTAATTATGTTATTCTCGAGTGCTTCTTCATCATCATCATCTTTAAATAAAATTAAAAATATTTAAATCTTTGCTATTTACAACCTATCGAAGTCCTCTGTTAGATGTATCTGCGCCTTTCTATAGATAGCCTCCTAAGTTCCTCCTAGTTGCCACGCTTGACTGGCGGGACTCCTAGGGTATTGGGAGCTGTCAAAAATGTCAGGAATATTTCAAGTGGCTAAAAGCTGAAGCACGTTTACACACCTACGTTTAGGTGTTTTCTATTGTGGTTAGGTTATTTTTTTTAAGAATATTAACAATGCTATAAACATTACTAATATTCCCCCCTTTACCACTTGTGGTAAGCTTAAATTGCTTGTGTTACGAGTGATTCACGCCAGTAGTCGAATGGCGGATTCGAACCCACGACCTTTTTGAGTTCGCGGTCCGCGCCCTGCCATTAGGCTACTGTCGCTTTTCGCCTATTGTTATTGACCTATTATTATTAACTACATAATTTAATCAAAATTAAAAGTGATTTGTGTTACGATTGTGACTATTATAGAAAAGAATATTCCCAGCAGTTGACTTTACTAGATGACGATGAAAAGAAACAGAACCTCATATGTGTGTGTGCGGTATACAATTGAAGATTAGTTGTTTCACGATATAATAATAGTTTAGTTTGAAAATTTCGAAGTACGCGCATCAGAAATTTAACCCATTCATTTGTAGCTACATTCCAAATCTTTTTAACAATATTTTAGTCTGTCATAAAGCTACATATTATAAGCATGGCCCTGGAGTCTAATTGTGTAACTCTGGTAGGTATTGTAGTTGAACAAGTAATTGTGTAGATTTATCAGTATCGATTATAAACTGATGTCTTTTAATCAGTGGTGAAGCTAGGGCTCTATACTAGGGCAAGCCCAGGATATGGTTTTATTGTTTTTAGCAGTTTTATAAAAATAAACCAATCTTGATCTGTTTCTACTCTTCAGTTTCATATATCAGTACTGTCGAGGACGTGTTTAACAAAGCACACAGAAGGCATACTACTTCTAGATAGATTGTATGACATATCAGCAATTGCATACCTACGGTGGCTTTGAAAAAAGCCGTTTGGGTTTGCTTGAGCGAAAAAAAGATATTTACATACAATACAATACATGAACAAAAGAAAAGCATGAACAAAGTACAAACAAACCGTGTACAAAATTTAAAAAAACAAAATATTTATATTCTAAATTAAATTGTCTCTTTTTCTAAAGGAAATATTTGAATACATCCGCGTAAAATGTTGGTAAACGTTTTAATTGTACGAACAACTGTTTTTCAATTGCGATATTTGAACGAGGATATGAGCTGTTTTTCTCAACAAAGTTTAAATATTTTACATTTTCCTCGCCGATTAGCACTTTAACACACTTCAATTCATCACAAGGAACACTATTACCCTCCATTTTCACTAAAAATCTCTAAAAAATGATAAATTTTCAACTCTAAATATTCATTCGCTCAAGTAAATCTGAGTAAACATTGAAATGTGAAGTGAACTTGCAAACGTATCGCTGTGCGCCACCGCGCTAGACTAACTTCATACCAAAGTCGGGCTTAATCGCCCTATACTAATTGCATATATATATATATATATATATATATATATATATATATATATATATATATATATAATCGTAGTTATATTTTATTATAGAACATTTTGCCATAGGTTAGAAAGTGAGCAATCGTATTCTCGAAAGCCCGGTAAAAAGCCCACGCGTGCGAGAGAGACAACTAATCGCTCCACTAATCTCTCTTTTATGACAGCAGTATCGTGCAGTTTTGCCACGACCGGGGTCATATTGTTCATTAATTATGACAGTCCATTGCGTGTTCGGTTTGAGACAGAGAGAACACGAATCAGTGTATTTCGAATGATACAGTTTAAGAGTTATTTTATTAGTTGATATTATTGATTGAGCAGTTTGAAAGGGCAAGCCCGGCTTCTCAGCTTCTATGGAGGCTTCGCCACCGCTTTTAATATTATTTATCATTGGCTTTTAATATTATTTATAATTTATCATATCAATAATATAATTTAAAAAAAATATTAATGGAAAACCAGTTGTGTAGTTATTCCCGCAAACGGTTCCCACAACAACTACTAAATTGCACTGCTGAGTTACTTGCATCTAGAATCTCCTTGCACGTCTCTTGAGGTCGCCACTCTGTGTTGTCTATGTGACTATGTGTCCAGTGATTTTGCATCACTGTGAAATCGGAGACTTAATTCAAAGGTCACAATTATGTTACAGACAAAAGCAGCGTAAAATACAGGTGTCGTAATAAATTTCTATGAGTATACGAGTACAGAGGTCAGGTATTAAGCTACAAGGAAAAATATATATCTGAAAAGAAAAATCTACAAGTTTGAGCAAAATAGGAGCAGAATTTATAAAACGTACAAAACTAAATCTTACTCGCATCAGGGTCCGCAGCGACATTATACTCCGGGTCAGCATCGTCGTCATCTTCGTTCTTTGCAAAAGACGTGGATGCTGGATTCAAACATTCCTCCAGAAACTCGTTCCAAACGGGATCGTCAACGTCAACAGTAGGCACGTCATCAGGTGGAACAAACGAACTCTCTATGTGCTCTATGGGCGTTTCCGACAGACTCAATTTCGATCTAGTACGAAGTGCTATTGTGGCCTCCTCGTCAAGGTTTAGCTTTCTTCGTGACGGTGTAGTCATGTTCTGTTTGCAATTTTTAAAATTAATAGTACATGACATATTTATTTGGAAACAATAACATGGTTATAATCTATTTTTAGGTTATATTTAGATTTATATAAAACTATTGCTCAATAAAGCCACTTCTTAGACTTCATAGTCAAAAGACTGACATTGTAAAAGTAAGTATATAAAAACATATAATTACAATAAATTATTTTAATTTAAAACTAGCAGAAGGAAACCTTCCCCTTACAATAAATGCCACCAAATTTAATCAGGAGAATAAAAAATAGCTTACAAACGTAATAGCCTTTTTGATCTGACAATTTTTTAACTTAAAGTCAATATATGTAACATCCTGGTAACAAACAGGTATCTCATTTCTTTGAGAGATTTTGATTGAGAAAGAGTTTGCTTCGCAGTGCACTAACATAACATTGTGGATTGCCATAAATGCCTTTTTTGACACATTTTGACTTCCTACAATAGAGTAAAGGACTCCATTTACTCTAGTGTACTGCATTTACTTTTAATTCTATATCCTTGTCATGTCTACCATCCTTGCTAAACACATATCTTAAATACACTAATTCATCCACTTGTTAAATCAACTCCCCTTCTACTCATTGAATACATGTCGTTTTTACTTTCATTTTATTTCTCTTTTAAAAACCATCGCTTTCGAATTATTTGCGTTCACTTTCATTCCACTTTCTTTCAAAGTTATAGCTTGAGTTTTTTCGCTTAGATACGGTCGCCTTACGCTTATCGGGCCGCCTAGGCATGTGCCGGATCTTATCAAAGGCGCCGCCGCGACAATAAAAGTCTATGCGTGTAGCGTACGTACACCAGCAGGAAAATTTCGTGCCTTAGTGAAAGGTTACCGTGTAACTTGTGTTTATTATTTATATTCGTATTTTATTACAATAACTATATTTTATTTTATTGTTAGAACAGAAAAACGTTTATTTAACAAACACAGTAAAAATAAAATAAAAACATATTATAAGTACACCCCCAGGTGTCCCGACACTACCTTAGCAAACAGACTGTACAGTTTCTCCACAATGCTAAGCAGGCTGATTCCACCGTGTTATTACAAGCCTGCGCTGACACTGTAAATTTACAATGCTATAATTACATTTTGATATATAGGTATATATACCTGTGGTACTTTAAAAGGACCGTCTTTCTCAACTCTGGGACTAAAAACGTTGGGTGTCGCGGGTGTGCGAGGCTGCGATTCAATGTCGCTAACTGATTCCAGAGTCTGGTCGTCATCGCTCTGTTGAAAAATAAGATATAATGTCATTGTTAAAGGAAACCTGTACTAATTTCTAAAATATAAACATCGTTATTTCAAGATAAATTCAAGTGAGTAAAGTTAAAATTAATTAAAAAATTAAGAAACCATACCCAAATAAAATTAGAATCCTTAATTATCCAACTTGGTTTCCATAAATTTGTTTAGATGACATCATATATATTTAATCATAGTACAACACGACCATGACACTAAGTGATCCACATCTATGTAACAATTTTTTCACATACAAACAAATAGCCTAAATATTTATTGTAATTTAGAAATATATTTTTAATCTTTACGTAAATGAAGTCACTTCAAATTATTTTACTATTTATTCTTCTCATTTTTTGCTAAAATATCTGCCATTCTGACCGGTTGTTTAAAACCTTTTATCTGTAAGAGGTTGTTTTAAAGTTGTGTGTAAGGGCGTTCCCCCAGACACAAAACAATTTTATCCGAAGACTTTTTGTAAAGCCTTCCCAGACGGCCCCTGAACGCCCTCAAAACTAAGACAAATCCAGGGAAACCTACATGGATAGCAGCACTAAGCTAGAAAAGCATACTGATTCTCGACACACAGCTATTGCTAGTTCGGGAGTCAGAGCTTCAACTTTGTAGTGTCAATATGGTTTTATTCAATAAATAAAGTATTATTGTTATTATATATCTTTTTGGCTTCCCTAGTCATATAAACGATTCGACGACTCCGTGGCGCAGTGGCTTAAGCAATGAGCTGCGCTGGGGGTCGCGGGTTCGAATCCCGCACGGAACAAGTATTTGTATGGCCTACAAATAGTTGTTTCGGTTCTGGATGTTTGTCCTTGTGCAATTTATGTTTGTAAACTGCCCCCACGATACAAGAGAAAATCTTAGTGTAGGGCTAACGTTTAAAAAAAACCATTTATAGATCACTACAAAACATATCCTGTTAATTAACAGCAACAGGGCATAATATGTAGACAGTTATTTAACTGAAGTTTTTACTTTATTTTAATAATAAGGTAAAGGTGTAAACCTTCAAATAACAAAATTCCTCACTTGTACATCATCATGTGTTGGCTGATACTCATCGTCGTCTTCATCCTCTGGCAGTTCTTGTGCTATAAGAGCCTTAACTTCAGGTCGCGTCTTTATTGGAATGTGCTTGATTGGAGTTAGCTCTAAATTCTCCAAATTCCAAGGTGCAGACTTTGGTGATACTTTCATCAATTCTCTGTAAATACAGTGAAAATATTTAAGTGTTAAATACAACATGAGAACAAACAAACACACAAGTGTGTAATCTGAAAACACTAAATTCCTTAAAATAAGAAACATAAAATTACAAAAAAGTAGCTTAATAGATATTTTGTTTAAATTATTTAAATGTTCAGATTCAGATATCCCAGTGACGGTTAGTGCGTACAATTTATTGTTTTTTACCTGGAGAAAGACACTAAATTAAATATTTTTTTTTACAATATAATCAATATCTACCACTGCCATGTTCCAACTTTTTTCCCCATAGATGAATTATTTTAAAGAATGAGGAATTTAATGATTTACTTAAAATGGCCAAGTATACTGCCATTCATAGACATTGAGAAAACAAATTTTACAAATATTAAAAATAAAAAAACATACAGACAGCTTCAAAAAACATTTCATAAGTTGTACTTGAAAGAAAAAAATATAATCAGTCAAGTTTTTGAGGAGGAAATGGGAACAAAGGCTAATGATTTTATCAATTTCTTTTAGGTATAATCATTTCAAACTGCAGTTGTCTCTTTTGGATATATTACTTGGTCACAACGGGCACACTGCATCAGCAGTGGATTGCTAGCCCATATATCCTCTCAATAGTTGGTGTACTAAATATTAAAGTTTACGTTCTTGAGGAGCTTCTTAATTAATCACAAAAGACTTATAGTTCAATCAAAGAATTCACTATGTACAATGTCCATAATATAATATTATCACAATTAGCGAGAGATCACTATGCTCTTAAAAAAAGCTATACAACACAACTTTGCTCAATCATCAAATACAAATCATTGTTTTCAAAAATTTCGTACTTTTATCTTTTAATATAAGTTATGTCATAGTTTCCTATCTTTCGCCATTTATACCCAAAGATTAGCAGCATGGCCAAGCAATATCTAAGGTGTGAAAATGTAGTGTAATGAGATGCCAAAGAATAGAGTATCAGTGCGAAATAGCCGCATAATGCTGCTGTTTTCTGTAACGAGAATCAGCATTACACCTTAGACCCTTAGAATAAGTACTGGGGACCCTTTATACTAGTAAAACAGCATTCTATTGCAGTGGTTAGGGCTGACAAAGCATGAGCATTTTGATTCTCAATTTAGAATAGATCTCTCAAATTATTTGTCAGTATAACGCTTTATGTATAATTATGACATCACTTAAGACACTTCTTCCATACTAAATACTAAACATGTGATGCTTTTAATCAATTTTAATTCAATTTTATGGTCTTCGCGTCTTTTGCATAGGCAAAAAAGAAATAGTATGTGGCTGAGTAAAAATTGTTTTGGTAAGACCAATATTGAAGCTGTAAAAGCATCCACACCTTGTGAGGCATGTGTAATTTTAATAACAATCGAAGATAACTAAATAGAATATTCACACTTACTTAACCTTGGCTCTGGTCAGCTTGGGTCTAACCTTTTCTTCTGAACTAGATTCCTCTTCTTCTTCTCTTAACTTTACTAAAGCTAGAACATGATCATTTGTTACTACTTTCTGTAAAAGATAAAATAAATTATTGAGTTGATGAGCTTCCTAAGGACTAAAATAATTAGTTTTATACCTACTTAAAATCTTGTGTTTAATGTGGCATTTAATTTAAAAACCAAAAGAAATTAGACAAAATCATCACATTAGGATTTTCTTCTATATTGTGGAAGTGTTTTAAATTGCACAACCCAACATATTCAAAAAAATGTACTAAGCTCTGGCTGTAATTATTTAGTGTGTACATAATTGTGTATTTTATAGCACAGTACTGACTTAGTGGTGAAAGAAAACCTCATGATAAAAAGATAGATTTAGATCTCATGAGAAATCCTGCATATCTGGGAAATTAAAATATATATTTTGAAGATACATATTTGAAATCTGCCAACATGAATTGGGGCAGCATAGTGGACACTATCTTGCCCTAAAATACTGACAGAAATGAGAGGTCTGTGCCCAGAGTAATATTGAAAAGGAACGGGAACGAGGGGTCGCTTGCTACTTGAGCCAGCTGCCAAGGAGCAATTGAAAAAGGACAGGAACGAGGGATCGTTCTTGTCACGGCTCGTTTAGCAGCGGATTTCCTACCCTCCTATGACACCTACGTTAGGTTCGGGAACAACGTATGTGAACCCCGCAACGGAGTAACACACAAGGGCGTCGTCCTCTTCCTTTTCTTCAAATAGGTTCAGGCGGGGATTACGGGTCTTATCGTCCCGGTCCCAACGCCTTAATTCTTCAATATGTGCCGCGCTATCGACACCAATGAACTGTGCTTATTTTAAAGGTGAAGGTGATTCCTTGGGAATAAAACAATAATTATCTTCAAACCGTTCCGTGAGAGAGTAATTACTTTCCCTATCACTTCCCTATATACTTTTCTTTCTTGATTATATTATATACTGGTAGCTGATCCAGAACGATTTGTATCGTCGTCGTTGTCTTCTGCAAGGCATAATACCATGCAGGTCTCGGGCCTCGGGGTGTACCCCTTTACCCGGATGTTTCTCACGGCACACTGCAATGTGCCGGTCCTGGGCGCCTTGATAGTATCGGTGTGATGAGTTTAGCGACTTTTGTCGCAGTCGGGTAAAATGTCGTTAAAGGAGGTTATCTAAATAAGTGTGTTTAACACAAATTATTTTGTCGAAGTTGGCCTTTCAGCGGCATTGTGGGGTTTACTCGACTCCCTAATCTATATAAGGAGGAGTTCTCTTGGATAGGGTCGCCCGTCCGGCGGCCGTGAGTGCAACGGCGCGAAGCCGTTGTGGTGTTCATGTGGCCCGTTGTCGGCGCGGTCGAACATGCCGCGCGCCAGCCGGACCACGAATTCTTGTAGGCTCTCTATCTTTAGGTTGGCCGCTATGACGTCGTTCCGGACGTAGCGACCCGCACCGACTATAGTTCGTAATGACAAACTCTGCTGGACCTGAAGTCGCCGCTTCTGATGATCGCTCCGGAGCAGCGTATGTTAGCAGGGGTCTAATGTATGTTTTGTAAATGGTTAACTTCGACTTTGTCAGTAACTTGGATGTCAGGACAGGGCGGAGCATTGCCCGCGCACATCGAGCTTTGCGTATAGCAAAGTCGACGTGCGCAGTCATACGCAACATCCTGTCGATCCGGCATCCAAGGTATGTCACGGCCTTCTCATATGCGATCTCCTGGCCTCCGAGGGTTAGCGGTGGTGGTAGATTTCTATAGAGGCGAGTGAGCAGAGCGGTCGTCTTGCTAACATTGACGACCATCCTCCACTCATCCAACCATGGTGGCAGCAGGTCCAGCAGACGTTGCATCCTGGCAGCTGCAATGTGGGCTCTTCTGGACGACGTGAAGTATGCGCTGTCATCCGCAAAAAGCGCTAGTTCGACGTCGTCCTCCCATTCGTGCAGGTATCCTGCCAGGGTAGGCATGTCATTAGTGTACGCCGCGTACAGGGCTGGAGACAGACAGCTGCCCTTTGGCACACCAGCTGCAATGGGTTTTATTGCGGACTCGGCGTCCTCTACACAGACGTAGAACTTCCTGTCTACTAGGAAGGACGCCACTAGCCGCAATATAGCAGGAGGAAGGATTTGTATCGTCGTTGCTGTCCTCTGCAGGGCATAAATGCCGTGCAGGTCTCGGGCCTCGGGGTGTACCCCTTTACCCGGATGTTCCTCACGGCACACTACAATGTGCCGGTCCTGGGCGCCTTGATTGTAAAGGCGTTGCTTTAACGACTATTGTCGCGGTCGGTTAAATTTTTATTAAGGGAGGTTATCTCGTAATTTGTGTTTAAATAACACAATTACTTGTCAAAGTTGGCCTTTCTGCGGCATTGAGGGGTTTACTCGGACTCCCTAATCTATATAGGGAGGAGTTCTCTTGGATAAGGTCGCCCGTCCGGCGGCCTTGCATGCAACGGCGCGAAGCCGTTGAGGTGTTCATGTGGCCCGTTGTCGGCACGGTCAAACATACCGCGCGCCAGCCGGACCACGAATTCGTGAAGGCTCTCCATCTTCAAGTTGGCCGCTATAACGTCGTTACGGACGTAGCGACCCGCTCCGACTATAGTTCGTAATGACAAACTCTGCTGGGCCTGAAGTCGCCGCTTCTGACGATCGCTCAGGAGTGCATACCAGGCCGGAGCAGCGTATGTTAGCAGGGGTCTTATGTATGTTTTATAGATGGTTATCTTCGACTTTGTCGGTAACTTGGATGTCAAGACAGGGCGTAGCATTGCCCGCGCACATCGAGCTTTGCGTATAGCAGAGTCGACGTGCGCAGTCATACGCAGCATCCTGTCAATCCGACATCCAAGGTAGGTCACGGCCTTCTCATATGCGATCTCCTGGCCTCCGAGGGTTAGCGGTGGTGGTAGGTTTCTATAGCGGCGAGTGAGTAGAGCGGTCGTCTTGCTAACATTGACGGCCATCCTCCACTCATCCAACCATGGTGGCAGGAGGTCCAGCAGACGTTGCATCCTGGCAGCTGCAATGTGGGCTCTTCTGGACGACGTGAAGTATGCGCTGTCATCCGCAAAAAGCGCTAGTTCGACGTCGTCCTCCCACTCGTGCAAGTGTCCTGCCAGGGTAGGGATGTCATTAGTGTACGCCGCGTACAGGGCTGGAGACAGACAGCTGCCCTGTGGCACACCAGCTGTTATGGGCTTAATTGCGGACTCGGCGTCCTCTACGCAGACGTAGAACTTCCTGTCTTCCAGAAAAGACGCCACTAGCCGCAATATAGCAGGAGGGATACTTGTTTGCACATCTAACTTGTAGAGTAATCCTGTGTGCCACACCCGGTCGAACGCCTTCTCGATATCGAGAAAGACGCCCAACGATATGCGGCCACGGTTGTATTCGGCCGCAAGCAGGTGCAGCACTCTGGTCAGCTGTGTTGCTGTTGAGTGACCCCTCCTGAATCCATGTTGCTCCGCCCGAAGTTGGATGCACGGGCGGAGACGTCTTAACAGTAATCTTTCGCACAGTTTAGCTATATGCGGTAGCAGCGTGATCGCCCTGTAGTTGGCAGCTCTACGCCTGTCCTTCCCGGGTTTCGGCAAGACGATGACTTTGCCTTTCTTCCAGTCCTCCGGGAAGTGGGATGTCCGCAATATTCCGTTGTAGAGCCGACCTATCTCTACAAGGACTCTATTGGGCAGCTGTCGTAGTGCAGCGTTGGTAATCCCGTCGTGCCCCGGCGCCTTCCTCGGTTGCAGGCGGGTTACTGTCCTCCGCAGTTCAGCGGGGGAGATAAACCACTCTCCTGCAAGCGGTGGCGCGGGCGACGACAGGAACTCCTGCACGCGGCTCTCCTTCCGTGAATGGGTTTCCAGGAACTCCGCACTTGCTGGGTTCGGCATAAACTGCTCCTCGAAGTGCTCAGCTAGGATATCCGCTCTGCCCTTGGCATCGTAACGTTGAATGCCCGCGTTGTTGGTCAGCGGGCAAACAGGTGGTCGAGTTTTCGTTAACTGCCGGTTCAATGTATAGAGCGACGCGTGCTGTTCGTCAGCCTTCCATATGCGCCGCTCCCAGGCCTCTCCTCTGTGGGCCTGTATTGCAACCGACAGTTCGTCTGACAGGGTGTTGAGTTTTCTCTTTACTCTAGGGCAGCGAGTACGCGCCCAGAGCTTCCTCAGCGCTCTTTTATGATTTAGCTGCACGCGGATCTTTAGCGGCAGCTCCTCTTTCCTTCCCGTGAGACGATCGTAGAGGCCGCGTTGAGGGCCTCCTTGATGCACGTGGATATTCTGGTTGCAGCGGCCTCTACGTCGTCCGCTGAGGTAATCGGCGTATGGACTGGAGGTCTCTCCTGCAGGTGTTGGTGGTAGAGCCTCCAGTCGATCTTGGTCTTACGGCTCTGGGCGGTGAGGTCACTGCCTTAGTGCCAAGGGTTATCAGAATCGGGAGGTGCTGTGTATTCAAGTCATACAGCACTTCTACCACTACTGGATAGTTGACGTTCCTAGTGAGCACGATGTCCAATACATCCGGACGCTTCCTATGGTCGCTAGGAATGTGCGTCGGTTCCTCGGGACCTAGAACGTCATAATCGTGGTTTTCAGCGTCTTCGTAGAGTTCACGACCCGGCGGGGTGATCACTCTGGACCCCCACGCCGGGTGTTTGGCGTTCAGGTCCCCGGCGATGATGGTGGGTGTCGTACCTTCCATTACCGTCCGGATGTCTCAGGAGTGAAATGGAGTCCCTGGCGGGCGGTATGCTGCAAAGATCCTAAGTTCCTCGCCCGCCGCCTCCATTTTTATGCCGATTGAACGCATCGTCTGGAAGTCTGGCAGGTCCAGCTCCTGGTGGACGATGTCTCTCCTCACCAGGATCGCTGTCCCTCTGTAAGCGACCCCTTGAGGATCGACCTCGTCCCTCCTGTATATGGTATAATTGGGCAGCTTAAGATGCGTTGATGGTCGTAATTTGGTTTCACCCAGCAAGATCACCTGGATGTCCTGTTGCTGGGTGAGAGTGCGGAGTTCATGGATCCTTTGGCGAATCCCGTCCGGGTTCCAATATAGCAGGCGCAGGTTGTTATCCTCCATAGTGCCTTGCCAGTAGGGATGCCACCGCCTTCATGACGTCGGTAACGGGATCAGTCCCGGCCCTAATGTCGGCCAGGACTTGTGTTCCGACTTCGATGGCTATGCCCTGCCCACCTCGCGTCCGTTCTCCTGCTCCTATTCCTCCGCCTCTTCCTCCTTGGGAGGGTTGCCTCTCAGTGGCGTCGTTGGCGGGAGGTCGGAGAGTCGCCCCGGTGGTTGCCCTTTGCTCTGTGGGACCAACCGTTTCTGTTGGTACTACAGGAGGGGGGGGGGGGGCTGGTTGCCTACCCTTCCCTCTAGTGATGGTGGCCCACCCGTCCTCCTGTATGGTGACGGCCTTTGGGCGACTTTGGGGGATCCTCTTGGGGTTCTCCGGGAGTAGCCCAGGTAAGACGATCCCCTGCTTCCTGGCGATCCTCCTCAGGACCGGGCAGCGGCGATCGTTGGCCGTGTGGTTCTTGGCGCAATTTGCGCACTTTGGCTCCTCCTCTCTACCCCTTGGGCAAAGGCTGGCAATATGTTCTCCAGCACAGCGAACGCATTTCACTGGCCTGAAGCAGTTTGCTGAGGCATGTCCGAAAGCCTGGCAACGGTGGCATTGTGGCGGCCCCGTCTTTCTCTGCCAGGCTTCGATGACGACTCCTCTCATATATAGGAGCTCGTCGTGTATTGTAAAGTTTTTGGAACCGTTCCAGGCTCAGATGCTCCAGCTGTGCATAGTAGAGGCAGCCCGGTCTGCCCCTACGTGGTGGTATGGCCTTCACATAATTTATGGGGAAGCCTTTTGCCCGAATAGCCTCCTCGATCAATTTTGCGATCGGTGCCCACTGGCAAGCCCCGGATGCCCACTTTAGTGGGCTTCTCCTCTGCCGGTGTGTAACAGTACCACGACATAGTTTTATCCTTCTCGGAGAGCTCGACCATGTACCTCTGAATGGTACGGAACTCATCCGGGCTCTGCGGAGAAAACCTGACTCCCTTCCCGAACGGACGGGCAATAGGAGGATGGCCCAACTTCTCGTTAAGGGCCTTAAAATGCCTGGTCCAGTCCGGGAGGCATTCTGCGACAATCGGCGGATATCTGGATTTCTCTTTCACCTTCTCAGTTTGAGACTGCTCCGCCGATTGCGGTCGTGGTACTGCAGGGGCCGCAGCCATGTGGGCATAGCTCGTTGACGGCCGCTGTCCATCGTCATGAGCTAGCCCGGACGGGTTGGTAGTTTGTACCGGAGATGACTTTCCGGCTGATGCAGCTAGGGTTGCATACGTTGTCGAGCCCCAGCTGTAGGACTCCTCACCTCCTTGCTCAAACTGGGCCGAGTCGTGACTGCGCCGGTCCGGAGAGATGGATGGTGGCTGTTGCGGTGGTGATGGCGACCTAGGAGGTGAGGTGTGGGCCTTCTTCCTAGACGCTGTTTGGGGCTCCTCATCATCAGATGACGCTGATGATGGTTCATGATCGTCCAACACGCTGCCTCTTCTCGTAGAGGGAGGCCTCGGTCTCGGGCGGCGTGTGCCTTCGTGGCGTCTTCGTGGGCCGCTGTGGCTGAGAGGGCAGCGGTTCACGCCCAGTCGTACACTCAGGTACGATGGGCGAGAGTGCAACCCTAGGTGCGGACTCCTTACCCGGCGACGAAGGTTTCCGGGTCGGTATTTGTGAGTAGGATGAGACAATTCTCATCCTCTCCGGGTTGAAAATATCGCTGTAGGCGATGGGTCTATCCAGTACGCCTGGCCTGTCCGGTGGTTTCCTCGATCTCGGAGGAGGTTCCCCCTTATCATTCCATTGACATTTCCTAACCTAACAGTCAGCGTCAGCGGTAATCTAATTAAGGCCCTATCTATCTTCCAAACGATCGGCAGCAGATATTGATGCGCGACGCGGATGGTGGTGATATTGTTACAGAGACTTTCAACACTATGGGCACTGCCTACCCCTTTTAAACCAAAAGGGTTGGGGGAAGTGCGGAGGTGGCACTTTACGAGCGCGACTGGGCACAGGATGCTCGGAGCGCATAAAGTGCCAAGAATCACCCAGGGGCCGGTGACCTCGACGCCTCACGGAATCACGGGACTCAACGTTCGGCGGAGTATGTCGTACCGGCGGTTATTTACAGCCACTGATAACTGCAAACAACGCACACCTAGGAGATCCTTGGAGGATTTGTATTGTTGATTGTCGTCTGCTATGGGACTACTTTTATTCATCCCATGCAGGTTTCGGGCCTCGGGGAGTCCCCCATTACCCGGGTGATCCTCACGGCTCATGACAATGAGCCGGTCTTGGGAGCCGTACGGCATCGTTGGCTTTCTTGGTTGGCGTATTGCGCGCCACCAGGTCGGTGCTACCGGAGGGTCGGCCGTCTCGAAGCCCCGCGGAGTCCTGAGGATGGGAGTCGACGCAGGGCCAATCTTGCCGACAGGAGGGCGTTTCAGCTGCTCCGGGCCTCCAGTGCTCCTTCCTGGCTCTAGCTGATGGCCTGGTATTCCAAGGCAGAAGCTGGCGTATCTCGCGCCTCTGGGAAGGGAATCTGCCGAAGGGTCAGCAACCTCAAAGTCCCGCGGAGAGTACCTCGACGCGGAGCCGAAGTCACCAACAGGCGCGCGCACTTGGGCGCGCCGGGCCTTCGGAGTTCGCTTCCCAGCATGTAGGTGATGCGCAGCGTTAGGTAATCTTCATCCCGGGCGGGGTAGGGGCGTCCTCAAGGCTCGACGCAAGCCGAGTTGGCCCCACAGCGCGCGCACCCACTGCGAAGTGACGCGCTGTACTTCTCCCACCCGGGCGGGAGTCGACGACCGGCGGACGTGACCGCTCGTTGGCGCGGTCCGGACGAGACTCGAGGATTTGTATGAAAACCAGTTTACTGAGGTATCACCAAGCTATACGCGAAAGAGAGCCGCGCCCCCTGTGCGATTATGCTACTTAATTACATCAATTTGTACTATCACTCTCTCACGGTTTGCCCAATATCTTTATTTGTATAAGACATACATTTATACATTCTATTTATAAAGATAGCACAAAAAAATATCTATACTATGATATACATTACATTTTATATCACAAAAAACCTTTTATTTATTCAACAAAATATGCCTATTTTGCAACACATGTACTAAGTTAGAATTCTTAAATATCTAACATATAAGGTTGAAACAATGTTCTTCATTTGAAAATGTAAATATCTTAACTAATACAATAGTTTAATTTACATTTTTCCTATACATTTCATCATATGAACATTTTTAAATTTCTTACACAAAACTATCAATATTTCACTAATCCAAAGGAATTTTCACATGAAAATAACACAGAATTCACCTATTTTGCTGATACAGTCAATCTGAAATATTTTACAAGTCAATTTTACATAAATTGCTGAAATTTGCAAATATTTAAATTTCTACTTATTTTGACCTCCTAAGTACAAGGTTAACGCGCGGCTATGAACTCACGCTATTTGAACAACTAATTCTTACACGACTGTCAATTGTCGGTAAAAGGTGGCAAATTTAGCACACACTGTTATCAACCAATACTAGGTGAACAACTGATTCTACACGACTCCCAAATGTCGGAAATTGTTTCTAACTAGATTTTTATCAGTTATCATGTTTCTTATCAGATAACATAAACAAAATATTTTATGAATCAAACATTGAAAATAAACATTTTATTTTCATACAAAACATATCAAACTCATATAAGATAATACCCATGCAATCAATTTCCATTAATTCTATTTATTCACAAAGTGATCATTTCGACCGGGCAACAAATCCTGGTCTCTAACTTTATTTTAATATTCCTTTAAATTAACAATATTATTGGAAAGATGATTTCAACCGGGGAACTGAACCCGAAAACATAATTTATATCTTAAAAATTCCCTATATGAATTTAATAAGAAAATATTACTAAGAAAACGACAAACTAGTCCTGCCTGGGAATCGAACCCAAGACCTTCAAATTATTAAATCGATATTTCTTTAAGATTTAACTAAGTGTTTTCTTATTAGAATATTATTGCTCGTTAATTTGTTTTTAGAAGCTGTTCATAATCGGTTAACTAATAAATTGAAATATTCTTATAGACGCGTCGCCAACAAATATGTATATGCTGTAACTTTACTTTTTACAAGTTTTTATTATTTTATGTTATTAAAGGATATGGTTGCAGAAACTAATAACATTATTATTTAGCAGCAATTATTATTATAAGTGTACCTTTAGTATTTTCTTTACACTAGCATCATCTAAATTGTTTTTGATAGCTGAAGCGTGTAAATTCTTCTCCATCACTAGGGTATTTTCTGGAAGCATACTTTCTGGGTCTGAACTACTTGAACTATCCAATCTGTGACAAAGACATTAAAGTAAAAAGTAATTTAAATTATAAATGTATTGAATTAAATAGCTATAATAAATAATAATAATAAAAATAACTTTTTGATTAATAAAAAAAAATATTGTTTCAATAAACTTTACAAATGTTGTTTAGGTACTTAGTTAAGATTACATATATATATATATATATATATATATATATATATATATATATATATATAAATATATATATATAATATTATAGGTAGTGGCACGAAAGTCTAGCGGTGACCGTTATTACACATAAGTAGAAAATGAGGTATTATGGGGTAGTAAGCGGGTCGCATGGCGGGCGTGCGTTTCGTTCGCACACATTGATTGACTCTTCAGTCGCATTCGTCTCCCATACTGATACAACACCGCGCGCACTTCCAGTGTACACATTCTGAATTGTATTTTTATTGCTGTTAATTTTTGTTGTTGTTTTTTGTTAAGTTTGAGGTCATTAATTTATTTTTTATTAATTTTGTTTGTGACTTTAAACAGTGAAAATACCTAGAAGAAATACTGCTTTGTGAAGACAGGAATTGAAAATGGTGTATGATGTGCATTGTTTTTGGAAAAGAGAATCTAATTAAATAATTTATTCTTTAAAACAAAACAAAAGTGAGATTAGCGAAGCTATGAGTATTTAACTCAGTCATTCCGACAGTAGCAATGAAAATTTAAGCCAGATAAAACAATCTCCTGAAGTTATTAAGGCAGGAAATATAAAATTAAATGATATAATCAGTGACTTAGGGAAAATCCAAGAAAGAGAAAGTCTACAAATGCATCAATTGCAATAGTAAGGAACATCTCCACTCAAGCCAATAATTCTCATATTGTTTCATGTGTATTATGGGGTAGTAATTAAATGTAATGTGTATTATGGGGTGGTAATTCTAATTTACACAGTGTTCGGAACACCTGGCAAAAAAAATTCCTGAACAAAACTGGTCACAAAAATCGATAACTTCGACCAAGGAGTAATTAAGAGGTGCATACATAACTTTTACAAGACAAATAATGAAGTTCTTACTGTTGGAAAGCTGAAAAGGAAGCTAGAGGAAGACATAAATTTCAAAAGCTCTGGAAAAAAACGCTGAAAACAACCAGAAAGTGCTGATTGAGACTTCAAATGTACATTTGCAACATATTGAATGTTCACGTAAAATAAAGCAATATCGCCAAGAGGGGAGGCCTATTGTATATATTATGGACGAATCTTACATAGATTCATCTCACTCTTCTCTAAAAGCCTGGACCAATGGTACTACTAAGGGCCTCAAAAAACCAATTTTGAAAGGATAGCGAGTTGTCATTGTCCATGCAGGGTCTGAAACTGGGTTTATACCCAATATTTTGCTGACTTTTAAAACTGCTACAAAATCAGAAGAAAATATGAATCTTGAGAACTATGAAAAATGGCTTAGAACTCAGTCAATGCATGACCTACCACCCAATACCATCGTAGTAGTCGACAACGCATCCTATCATAATAAAGATTGAGATTTCACACCAACCTCTAATTCCAAGAAAGCCGACATGCAGGCTTGGCTTACTAAAAAAGGCATACAATACGAGAAAACACTACTGAAACCTCAGTTATACAATATGATAAAGGTAAACAAGGAAAGATTCAAAACATTTTTGACTGACTAAATCCTGGCTGAACAAAGCCAACAAGTGCTTAGACCACTACCATAGCACCCAAATCTAAATGCTGTTGAAAAGGCATCGTCGGATATAAAATAATATGCAGGTAGAAAAATGTGAAATGGAGTGTTACTGAATCTACAGAGCTAATTCAAGAAAAAGTTTTACTGATGGGTGCATGTGATTGTCAAAAGTTATGCAAAGAGGTGAAGGATATAGAAGCGCAATATGCAAAGAGTGACCATGTCGTTGATTCGGGAAAAGAAGAATTCACTATTCGCATTGATGAACATAGTTCAGAGGAAAGCCTTGGTGAGTCTGATGACGATGACACTGCTAGTGCTGACGACCGACGCATCCCTGAGCCCGGACCTTCAACAAGCAAAAGACCCAGTTGAGATACTATTGAAGGCGTGATACAATTGTCTGATTCAGACTAGGAAAATGGGCAGCATAGGTTGTGTAAATGTGAGTGATTATTATTTTGCCCATCTATAATTCAGAAAATAGTTTTTTATATCTAAAATAAAAATTTTAAATTTGTGAATGTTTTTATTTTTCTACTCCCCATAAACTTATAAAATAATATCATTGTCATTAACATCATTACTTAAATTAATAGCTAAACACTATTAATTAATTAAAGTATTGATTGTATTGCATGCACCACAGTACCCATGCGCAGCTATACCCTGCACATTTAGTTCAGCACTACACTATGTGCTGCGACTTGTATCTTTTGATAAAACATGATGATGATGCTGCTATATTATGATGATTTAAGATTCTATTTGCATACATACTTGGATGTAATGTAAAAACAATTTTTAATTCTCTCTTATGAATTTACTGGTTTACTGCTGATTGTAAATGGATCAGTAAGCTGAAGAGGCAATGGGCAAGTTGAAGAACCAACAACTAACAGTAAGTGAAGTATAGGGAGGTCAATCATTAAATGGAGTGATGCCTTTTAAGACATGCAGAAAATTGATGGATGCAGTTGGCCAAGGACCATAACTTGTTGCATTCTTTGGGGGAGATCTATGTTCCGTAGAAAATTTTCGAAATGTTGTAATGATGACATTGATACTGATTGTGAAAATAGGCTCTAGCACTTGACTGATTGCAGAAAATCTATCCAAACAGTGCTAAACCCAAAACAGCTCTGAGCTTGGTGTGTGTAAATCTTTCAAGACAACAGGTCCAACAGTAGACTAAAAATTCTGTCAATATTTATCACTTAGCCTCATATAGAAAGATGAGTGTGTGGATTGACACACAAACGGAGAGACGTTAGCTAGATGCTGCTATTTTATATTAATTATCTAATAATGAACAATGCATATAAACTATCGGAAATATTAAAATAGTAGTAACAAAACGAACTAAAGTAAATCTATACCAACCGTTTGCGTTTTCTTCCTCTAATTTGTACTTTTTTGTCGCTGGGTTTTATAGCTGAATTAATATTAACTGTATTAGTTACTTTCTTGCCCTCAGGTTCACTCATTTTATAATATTTTTTTATGTCTCTATATCTTTTAAGAACTATAAACAAAAACAGTTTTTGACGTATTCGGCATCAAATCAAACGAAAACTTGAGGGAGCAAAAATTCAAGTACACTAAACCATAGATTACTGACTATTTGACTAATACTGATACCATGATTATGTACTGACCAAACTATACTGACTATCTACCTATAGACGCTAAACATAAACATAGTAAACATACTTAATGTTAACCGTTAGAAGCACTGACCTCTGTCTACGCACTGACTTCTATATATTATACAAGTACGCTGGACTGGCTATACCATACAAAATGACTATGCCAATTTGAAGCGCCGCTGAAGGATGTCTTGAAAAATAAAATTGACATAATATGCCAAAGTGTCTTATTTATATTGTCTTATCTAATAAGTCTGTATTTTGAACTTTTAAACTAAAAAACGAAAGTATTTTATGTTTGATTGTGTATAATATTAGTTACATAATAAGAATTATTTTTAATAATAATGAGAGTGTGCGTAATCTCTAAAACTCGTTACCAAAAGGGAAGTGGTGTAACATTTCACAAGTAAGTGAATTTGCAGCTAATATTTAACAAATTAAAACTATTTGATAATATAAATACTTAAAAAATTGTTATTAATCTTAATATCATATATATACCAACATATTTGGCTGTATATTAGTGAGTTTTGATAAACAATAAAATTCAATAGGGTTGTCGAGTTCCTTGTCTTTAATACTTATCGATGTTCTTTCCTACCCATATCTGTTAACAATAACAAACATAGTCGCCAACGACAGATGATTATCAAATGTTTATTAATTAACAAAATGTTTATTAATTAAAAGCATACCTAAATATTGTGAATTGGCGTCCGAAACAAAATGATCATACTTGTTCTGAATATTTCACAGACGACTGTTTTATTAGACATGTGAACTGCACCACTTTGAAAAAGTCCAGTATACCGACAATATAAAAGTATTAGATTATTATTTTGAATGTTTTTTTATATCTTCTTTCCTCATTTTCCCACAAACTCAAGGGCCATAGCTAAGTGTCGAAAGGTCGCCTGATGATGTCGAGCCTCGTTGGATGTGTGTTAGTGGGCTGCGGCTAGAGGATATTCCTCTCCCTGTACCGCTGTAGTCGAGGTGGAGTCGTCAGGGAAGAGGAGTGTTGGTATAGCGATTGGCGAAGCGATGCCACTCGACTATCCTTCGCGACTTTGGTGAGGCTGCACCACTTGATGCTTCCAAGTGCTCGTTTTTTCCTGGCTCCATTCACATATCGTGCTCGGGGAGTCCGTAGTGCAGGTGGAGTCAGAGGCCGTGAAGGGCAGTGTGCCTTGTGTTTCTGGTGCGCCTTATCTAAGAAGAAAAACGGGGGGGGGGGAGAAGTCATCTACTAAGGAGAGACTGCCAATGGGTGGCTGGCGCCGGAGGGCCCGCGGGTGTACATGAAAACGTTTCCGTGGCCCTGTCAATTTGCGGCGGAGGTAGAACAATATTGGGTTTTTAGTAAGTGCGAGTCTAGAGATTTAATTCTCTCTAGATTCTCAAGATTTAATTTGTGCTTTAACTTCGTAGTGGCCCTAATTTAGTTTATTTCTTATTTACAAATTCTGGCCATAGTTTACATTCACGATTTTGGCAGCTTCCTCTTACGCAACATCCACCGACAAAGGAAATGAAGTGTCGATATGTCAAGCCCCCTAGAATACGTGACATTGCCGAAGCTGGAAAACTTAGAACCAGAGTGACCGACATCGCCCAACGGATTAGTAAGCTGAAGTGGCAATTGATCGACCATATAGCTAGAAGAACAGATAACCGATGGAGAAAAAAGGTTCTCGAGTGGCAGCCTCATACTGGCAGGTGAAGTGTCGGAAGTTCCCCCACTAGATGGAGTGAAAACATGGTAAGACATACAGGAAGTTGATGGGTGCAGGTGGCTCAGGACCGTGCTTTGTGGCATTCCTTGGCGGAGGCTATGTTCAGCAGTGGACTTGTGAAGGGCTTCAATGATGATGAATGATAATGGCATTATATTAATATGATACATAAATAGAATCGACGTTATGGGTAGAGTCCGTCTATCCATAGAGTCCATTCTATTTATTTAGGTATAGGTAGGGTATAGAATTTTTATCGATATGTTTTGTCGCACTGTCTTATCCCTATTATTAGTTCCGTGGACGTGCACTTCTGCTGTCAGCGCTAAAATGGCGGAAATCAAATCGCTACATCATGTCACGGTGTATAGCCAGTCCAGCGTACTTGTATATATAGAGGTCAGTGGTTAGAAGTATTGATGGTTCATTCATTTGTTTTTGAATGTACCAGTACAACCAATCACAAACAATTGACGGTACCTCTTTAACCCGCGATTTGTTTGAATTGTGAATGAGCCGCAAACCGACCGAATCCCGAATGATCTGAATAAACAGACGAATCGAGTTAACAATAGACAGCAGAGCATAAAGTAGAGTAATATATACACAGAACACCATTACTCCTAGCGGAGAATATATACGGAAACCGCACAGTATCAGGAGTATTTATTATTTTAAGGGTTTTTTTATTATAATACTGTTACCTAAATTAAAAATCATTTTACATTTTATTATATTTATTTGTTAAATCTATGAGTTAAAAATATCATTTCGTAGAGTTTACTAAAAATAACACTTCAAAAGATTTCATGATAAATGATTTATTTAATGATAATTTTCAACCATTATTATGTAAGTATAAGTTAGGTTAAAGTTTAATTTCGTAGCAAATAAATGTTACAATCCCTATTTTTAGACTTGTAAAGTAAGATGAAATTGTGTATTGTTAGGAATGAAATTTAAGAATAAACAAATTTATTAAATATTTAAAAAATAAAAAATATGATAACTTGAGATTTCTGTGTATATGCCATCTAGCGTCGATTCTTCTTACCACCTTGAAAATTAATAAGTTTTAGTTCGGTAAAATGACTTTATTACCTAAACCATGTAGTAGATGGTGCTATTACAAATCTCAAATATAAAATGTTTGGTTCCCAATGGATCTCACAGACTCACAGAGTATCGGAGCCTGAAATGATCCATTTGAATGATCGATCCGAATGTACCAGTACGCGTGACGAAATGTACTGGAATGATTCGGTCGCTAGAAATGAGTGATTTACACATATCCAGATGGGAGAATACATAGATTAATTATTAAGTATATATACTATAATGTTTATAGGGAGAATAGTTGAAAACGTGTCCATCCGTAAGCAGTAAATAACAGTTCCAAAACTCTCCACAACAGCAATCTAGTAGCTACGTTGAGAGTGATTTTTAAAATAAAAATTTTGGAGGCAATAAAATAATTATTGTAAAAAGAACTATGGTGAAATTCTGTTCTGTGCAATAAAAAAAGTTATAAGAAGTACTTTAAAATTTAGACTGTAGCTACAGTGGCGCCACCTATTTAACGCTTTCCTACGGACCATGGACGGACAATTTTTCATACAGAGTATGGAGCATGAAGGTTAGAGAACAGGAGAACGATCGCCGTAGAAAATAGTGTCCCAGAAATATGGACACTATAAGTGAGGCGCTGCGATTGCTAAGTTCGGTCAATAAAAGTCATTTTCAGTCTATTTTTCCGATCAGATGCTAAACCACTTGCACAACCACGCACAATAAAATATTTCTCCATTTTAAATGTTTCTTTTTGTCAAAAATTACAAAATTACGGAGAATGAAAATTTTCTCACCAATACCGCGGAGCAATTTTGTAAATTATTCAACTAACTTCATCTCAACTCAACTTATATTTATAAACAACTAACTTCGCAGTCACTACTCACCGACGTCAGCGCCGCTATAATGGATGGACAGACGGGCTATGCTTTAGTACGTAGTGATCGTTCTCCTGTGCTCTGACCTCCATGGTTACATCGTAGACAGAGAATTCTCTGTCTACAAGCCATATAGATTATAGATTTTTGTGCCTTATACTTATTATACTCTTTGTTGCGGTGCCCTATATACTTTGATTATTATACCAAAGGAGACGGCATCGCAAGGCATACCCCTCTGTTAAAAGTACGAGAGTCCGACTCACACCCGTTATATAAAATAGTTGCTCCGCGTCGTGCGCCATTACGCAAGTGATCGTGCCAGTCAATTGAACTCCGACAAAACTGCCGCATTGTAGTGTTGTCATGCAAAAAACAATCAAAACCGTTAAATTTACAAAATGACAACGTGACTTTTCATCTGTGAATACTTTCAACATAATATTATCGTTAAAACCAGTATTTTCTGAATATTTTCGTTAAATACCAAGTGTTGCCAGCATGGTTCATGAAGTGAAAAATAAGCAATTTTAAAATACATATAATTTAATACACAAAATAAATATATTAACAAAAATTTATTTCATATCAACTCAATGAGTTTATGATGGATGATAACCTTTACATAAAGATGTGATTTTGTCAAATGATTTAAATATTCGGGTCAATTCCAACACGATTCTGAATATATTATAATATAATATAATTGTTAAATTGTCTTTATCAAAACACTATACAAGTTAAAGGCTAAATAAGGCGAATCGAAACTTACCACGTCGTAGCAAATGTGTGCAATTTTTGTAAAATTAACTGGTATCACTGCAACCGAAAATACTGCAATGTAGTGATGTACTCCTCAACTTCAGCTATCGATAAGTTAATTAACCCATTCGGGTTTGTCTGCCGAACAGGTTTTAATTTTTTGTTTAGATTTTATAATAAAGTATTACCAAAAGTAGTAAATTTTTCTATTATAGTCTTAGTAATAATAAATAAAAATAGTTTATTCAGCAATGTAGTTAGCGATATCCTTTTTAAATATTGGCAGTATTTGGTTAGATATTGTCATCTATCATCACCGTTTTTGAAAACTGCCATTTCCACTCTCATCAATGTTTCCAAATCAAAACTGTTCGCTGTTCTCTTGCCT